CGGCAGGCGGACTCTCAACCACTGCGCCACCAGGGAAGCCCGAAAGCCCTGTTCTTGTGTGACTTCAGCACGTGCATGATTCTGACCTACCAGTCTTGCCTAATCATGGATTGAGTTGGTCTGTGCCTGAAACATCGCATCCCCAGCTGCACCCTATTTGGCTGTCTTTCATACGCCAGTATTGCTCATGTCTTTTAGTTCCCCAACCGTCTTAGCCCTTTTCCTCTTATTTCATTCATGTCCTCTCTTCCCCTTCCATGTTATCTCCAAGTATTTCCCTCACTTTCATTGCCCAGGCTGTCCTCCCCAGGGTCCCTTCTAACGCCAGTTCTGTCATCATTTACCTACTTTCACCTTGCCTCTCCTACTTATCACCTCCTAGACTGTCACCCTCATCTCCTACCTGGCAGACTGACTCCACTGCCCAGACCGGAAAGGAAGCGTCGAATCGCCGTCAAGCCCGAACCTTCCCGGTTGAGGGGCTTCAGAGCCCACTCCCCGGCCCAGCCGAGGAGCTTGAAGAACCCTTCATCGCGCTCTTTGCACGGCCACCCCCTAACATTTTCACCGAATCCTACAAAACCACCACCACTTTTAGCCTCCCCGTGAGCACCAGAATCGCCTGTTGTCCTCAGTCGCGGTCTCCGAAGAGCGGTCTCCAGGTGAAGGCAGAAAGGTGCTTCCTTACTTGAGAAGGTAGGTGTGTGCTGATGCTGGCGTCTGCGCATCAGTGATCAGAACCTGAACCAAGCCCCAGGCGAACTGGATGGGTGGTTGGCGCTAAGCCAATCAGAGATCTCGATCACAGAACCCAGCCAATCAGAACACGGGAGGCTCGGCGCACTCGGGGGCGGGCCCGGACGGGTGAGGATCCGCCCCTTGCAGCTTGGTGGCCAACGCCTTGGCCCAGGGCTAGCTAGAGGCGAGCAGGTTCACGGACTCCAGGGACCGGGCGCTTTACGAGCTGGGAGGCGGTGCCCTAGCACCCCAGCTAACTTCCCTACAGGCCTTGGCCTTAACAGGTATTGGTGCCTGCCGTGGACGCATTTAGACCCCGGCCTTTTCTCTCTGGAGACTTTGTGCCTATGGTTGGGGACAGAGTGAGGTCGTTGCCTTGACGACGACAGCATGCGGGCCGCGGTCCTCCTGAGTGTGAACTTGCGGTGGGTTGAGGCCAGCCTGCCTCCCTGCCTGCTTCACCTGGGACCCCTGACTGTGTCTGCGGAAGAAATCGTGACAGCAGTAGAATTGCTAGTTTGCTAGTCAGCATCTTTTAGACCTGAGAACGAGATGCATTTTACCTCAATTTTATTTCCAAGTTGAAAACCTTTGGGTATTTCCACGCCAAAGGATTTAAAAGGAACAGTAAGTATAATACTTTTGAAAGCTTCTATTATCTCGTTCTTTTATCTATAAAAGATTTCAACCTGTCTTTAACAAAATAAAAAATAGCATTTTTTTATTATCTAAATTATTAGTATGAGAACCATATGCTTCCATGGCACATGTCCAGAACTACCACATTGCCAGTTGGCCAGGTTTCCTTTTAGTCTGTATAACCCTTAACATTCCCAAGTAGAAGGCATGAGAAGTTATGGTTTATGAGTAACTGTTTCAGGAAACAAGAGGCTTTTTAAGCCTTGATACTTCTAAAGTATTTGTGGGAAGTGCCACTTGAAAAAACAGGTGTGTTCAGTGTGCTGTGACCAAATGTGCAGTTGGTGGGAGAATACAATTGTAGTCAACGTGTAGAATGTTAGCTTGTGACATGCTTCAGAACCTCTTAGACATGCTTAAGGTAATTTTAACTGTGTTCACTTTGCATTTCCAAATATTGAGGACACTAATTGCATATGCTTTAAAATGATCCAGGTTATAGATTCCAGCTATTTTTGTCCTTGGTATGATAAGCCTAAAGTCTAGTCCTTAATAAAATATGCTGTTTTAGTGGAAGGAAAAAAAAATTAAAGGAAAGAGAGAATTACACTGAGAATTTTTCTTCAAACACTGACATTTTATTTAAAAATAGTTAATAGAGGTTAAATGGAAGTTAAAATGTCAAATGTATAGAAAGTTAGTGTCAGAGACACTGTTCTGTAAACAGTTTATAGTAGAACCTACCTACTATCAAAGCTGGTAGTAAAATAATGAAATAATTGGGTTGGTGTTGACTGGGATGTATTTATTTTCTCCCTCCCGAAGATCAGTCTTCTGACTTTCCATATATATATACTATATATATATATATATATATATATATATATATATATAATAATTATATATATATCCCCTAAATTGTCAAATGTAAACTGTTGAAAATGTATACATCAGATTATCACAGTTTGCTAGAACAAAGAGGATATTTGTTTTGTCTTTGTCATCAGTGTACCAATAGGGAAGCAAGGAAAACATCACAATTCACAATCTGGGTAAATTAATTTTAGATTGCTGTAGGTACACTACTAATGTTATAAGTAAGAATTTTTTTTCTTTCCAAGTTTTATGAATGAGTGTTTTTATATTGTCAGGTTAAAAAAAAATTCAACTATGAATCATCATTTGAATGTATAGTTACCAATAGACATTTTTTTCCCCAAAAAACTTTTAGAACCATGTTGGGATTAACAGAAATATTTTTTATTCTTTGCTTCTGGAATTTAATTTCAAAATCAGATTGTAAAAATAAATTTAACTTTGAAGTTGTAGTTTATTAGCTTTTATATTTCATGGCGATCAAAACGTATGAAGTAAAATCTAACCGTATCTGGGCTTAAAAGTTTCTTGCTATACCAAAATATGTAGTGGAATGATTGCTGGTCCTTCACCAATTATTAGTAAAGTAAGAAAGATTTTGTTAGGATTGCCTTCATCCAGAAAATGTCATATAATGGGATGTAAAAGAATTCTAAACACAAAATTCAAATAATCATACTTATAGTGAATAATCATTAAAAAGATTTTTGAAATACTGTATTTGGTACACTAACATTTAATTATTAAAAATCTGCTTACATACTGTGATGTCATTGCTGTTATTTTATATGTTCAATATAGGAATTTAATTACTATGGTAATAAAAGTAAACAAAAATAGTTGATCAGAAGTTGTTAGTGTTAACTTGGTAATATTTTTCCCAATAGACTAGAAAGCGCATAGAGATCCTCAACTTTGATCTTTTAAACCTGATGTAAAAAAATAAATTTTATCTTCACTGTAACCAAATTCACTTGTGTGTTTTTTACCTTAAAGTGAAAAGGAATTGTGTTTTTCTAAAGTAAACTGTTATTGTTTTGTATAATAGTTCAAGTATTGCTTTATCTTAATTAAAAATATATTGAAATTTCATTAACATGACATTTAGTAATTTAAATTTGAAGTTAATGGCTTCAATTCCATTTGCCTTTTGTCTATTATGAAATGTATGTGAATATTTTGAAAACATAACTTAGATGCAGAAACATTACACAGGACAGCCATCGATGCAGTGTCTGCTCTAATATGGAAAACAGGTGTGGAAGAATTAATTTGGGAGCGTGAAGGAAATTAATATACTCAACATAATTAACTCTATGTTTTGGTTTCCACAGCAAGAAGAATTCCTACTGGTTTTTAATTAAAATGGAAAAATATGAGAACCTAGGATTGGTTGGAGAAGGGAGCTATGGAATGGTGATGAAGTGTAGGAATAAAGATAGTGGAAGAATTGTGGCCATCAAGAAGTTCTTAGAAAGTGATGATGACAAAATGGTTAAAAAAATTGCTATGCGAGAAATCAAGTTACTAAAGGTAAGTTATCACATATATTGAATTGAAAAAAAAGAGTTGTTTCTTGAGTGACAGTAATTTTTTTTAAAAAATGCTGTTTTTATATTTGTTTTATTTCCATAACTTGGTTTAAAGTATAAATTTCTTCCTTTTTGGCAGTAAACAACAAGATTACATATACATATTCATTTATCTCATGAATATAAACATGATTTTAAAATTATTTGTTGCTTCTCTCTTATCTGCCTATCTATCTATTTACCAACAACTGTGTTGGGGGTCTCTAAGACCACCTCAAGGTTTGATGATTCACTAGGATGACTCACAGCACGCAGCAAACAGTTGTACTCTTGGCTATGGTTTATTACAGAGAAAAGATATAAAGGAAAATCAGCAAAGGGAAAAGGCACATGGGGTGAATTCCAGAGGAAACCTGTCACTTTTCTTCCAGTGGATTAACACAGGATGCACTTACTTCCTCCAGCAATCAGTTATGACAATACATGTGAAATATTGTCTACCAAGGAAATTCATTAGAGACTCAGTGCCCAGAAATTTCCTGGGGCCTTGTCACAGAGGTACCCCCTGCCTGGCTCATAACAAAATCCCAGACTCTCAGAAGAAATGCAGGTATTCAGCATAAACCATATTGTTTGCACAGTGAGCCGCTTTATCAGTTCTGGAAATGAAGGAACACTTCTGAAATCCAAGTACCCAGGTAGCGAACAAGGGCTCACTTTGTAAGCCAACTTTCTAGGGATAAAAGTCTCAGACCTGCTATGTTAACTGCTTCCCACCACCAACCCCCATCAGTCTAGCCTGAATTTTCTCAATTTTATTTATCTTTAGAAAGAACCAATGTTTGGCTTTGTTGATCTTCCCTGTTGTGTATTTCTTTTCTATTTCATTAATTTTTGTTCTTTAGTATTTCATACCTTCTACTTATTTTGGGTTTATTTTACAGTCCTTTTTCCTAAACTTCTGAGTTATATGCTTACTTCTTTAATTTCTAGTTTTTTTCCCCCTCATATATGCATTTAAGGTTATAACTTTCCTTCTAAGAACAGCTTGGTATGTATCCTAGAAATGTTGATTAGCAGTTCAAAATATTTTCTCATTTTCCTTAATTGCCAAACATGTGGAAAATTTCTAGGTTTTTCTCCTTGGTTATTTACTTTTGACCCAATTGCCCTGTGATCTGAGTATATGCTGTGTAAGATTTTATTCCTTAGAATAAATACCTAATATTTATTTTTTCCACTATTTATCAATTATTCCTGAGTTTCTTTCTTTTTTTAAAAAAAATTATTTATTTATTTATTTTTGGCTGCGTTGAGTCTTTGTTGCTGCACATGGGCTTTTCTCTAGTTGCGGTGAGTGGGGGCTACTCTTTGTTGCAGTGCGCAGGCCTCTCATTGCGGTGGCTTCTCTTGTTGCAGAGCATGGGCTCTAGGCGCACGGGCTTCAGTAGTTGGGGCTTGCAGGCTCTAGAGCACAGGCTCATTACTTGTGGCATGTGGGTTCAGTAGTTGTGGCTCATGGGCTCTAGAGCGCAGGCTCAGTAGTTGTGGTGCACGGTCTTAGTTGCTCCACGGCATGTGGGATCTTCCCAGACCAGGGCTTGAACCCGTGTCCACTGCATTGGTAGGCGGATTCTTAACCACTGTGCCACCAGGGAAGCCCCTGCCATATTTTTACATATCCCTTGGATTCCTCTTACCCCTCTTAGGGATTAACTACCTTTACTAGTTATCACTGATCTACATTAAATTTTCCCTGTCCTGGCACAGGCACACTACCAGCCCAGGGCCTCCTCAGTAAGTTCAAAGTACTTGCTTTAGAGTGTCTTGTTTTCTGTGTTCTTCATTATTATTTATATTGGATATTGTTTTTGGAAATTTATTTGTAGAAATGTTTTGAGGCTAAGATAGATAAAAATTATCTTCTTCCAGAGAGGATATTCATTTGCTTCTGCCAGGTACGTGGGGATGCTCCCAGCCTAGTATGTTAATCCAAATTCAAGGTACAGGTGATGTGAAGCCTGGACTGGTTCATTTCCATTCATTTTCACTGGGGAAGGTTTAGTCCTTAGGGTCCCAGCTTAAACTGGAGGTGTTTTCTGAAAGACCCCGTCTTTGCAAGGCATTAAGACTTGACTCTTCCTTCCGTCTTAGTCCCAAGAGGACACAAAAATCTAACCTCAGTTCAATATCTGTTACTTCATAGCAAAATCAGCTTTGAGTCCTGAGATTAATTCTCTGAGTTCTCCTGTTATTGATTTTGACCCAGTAATTCCTTGCTATCATCTTAGGTCTATTTCTATATGCTTAAGAAGATTTCCCATCCTTGTTCTCTTCGCTTTTTGGTTTTTGAGCGTTCTACTCAGATATCCTCTAGCTCAGAGATTCTTTCATCAGCTGTGTCCAGTCTACCAATAAGCCAACCAAAGGCATTCTTATTTTGTTACAGTGCTTTTGTTTTTTAAAATTTTTTTATTTTTTAATTTTTATTTATTTATTTGGCTGCACCGGGTCTTAGGTGAGGCACGAGAGCTCTTAGTTGCCACATGCGGGCTCCTTAGTTGCGGTATGCAGGATCCAGTTCCCTGACCAGAGATCAAACCTGGGCCGCCTGCATTGGGAGCGCAGAATCTTAACCACTGGACCACCAGGGAAGTCCCTGTTTTTTGTTTTTTTTAATCTCCAGCATTTCTTTTGATTCTTTATTAGGATTTCCATCTCTCTGCTTACATTGCCCATCTGTTCTTGCATGCTGTCTACTTTACCCATTAGAGCCCTAAGCATATTAATGATAATTGTTTTAAATTCTTGGTCTGATAATTCCTACATCCCTGCCAGGTCTGCTTCTGATGATTTTTCTGTGTCTTCAAATAGTGGTTTTTGTCTTTTGGTATGCCTTGTAATTTTTTTCTTCAGAGCTGGGCATGATGTACCAGGTAAAAGGAAGCGCTGTAAATAGGCTTTTAGTAATGTGGTGGTGAGGTTGGAGGAAGGGAAGTGTTCTGTAGTGCCATGATTAGGTCTCAGTCTTTCAGTGAGCCTATGCCAGTAGCCTGTGAACTTTACAAGTGTTTTTCAGGTTTTTTGTCCCCTCCTTAGGTGGGATAGGATGGCTACAGTAGGCTGGAGTTGGCTATCTCCCTTCCTCAGCTGGTTAGGCTCTGCTTAACTAGTTCCCCTCAAGGGCAGGCCTTGTTAAGGACAGAGTGCTGTGGCATTTTTCCAAATGGTTCCTTTTTTCCTCTCCCTGTGAAAGCTGAAGGAGATTCTTCTCTGAAATTTACTATCGGAACTTGGCTGAGCTCCTAGAAATAACATCTTACAGTGTTATGTGGATGCCCTTGTGACAGGGTTTCCCTGAAGTTTTTAACTCTCGGGCTTGGCCACATTGAGCTTCTGGTAACTTATCCATTGAAGTTCAGGTTTTCCTGCCTTGGCATTGGTTCCCACAGAGCTTTGCCCTCGTGAGTCTCTGTTCCAGGAAGCAGAGACTCCCTGCGTTTGCTGGTTTGTCTCTCCAGTCTTGGAGCCGGTGGTTTGAGATGTTCTCATAAGAGATGAGATGTCCTCTCATCTCTTATGAATCCAAAAAGAGTTGTTGATTTTTTAGTCTACTCAGTTTTTTACTTGTTAGGATGGAGTGGAGACTTCCAAGCTCCTTACATGTGGAACAGGAAACCGGAAGTCTACATACCTTTTATTATTTTATTATGTTTTAATTTCTTGGCTGCGAGGCTTGCAGAATCTTAGTTCCTCGACCAGGGATTGAACCTGGGCCCGCACTCAGCAGTGAAAGTGTGGAGTCCTAACCATTGGACTGCCAGGGAATTCTCTACATACCTATTAAAATTTAAGTTTACTAGAAGTTTGTGTGTGTGTGTGTGTGTGTGTGTGTGTGTTTACTTATAATAAAAAACCAAGTGAAACATTAGGCCATTAGACTAAGGTGGCTCTTGGCACCCTATGTAAACAAATCAAAGGAAACCTAAGTCAGACTCAATTCCTGTAAATGCTCAAGGTTAAGACATTGTAAGTTAAGCACAACCAGTCACAGTCAACTAGGCTTTCCCAAGTAAAGCAACCACTTAAGCTGGAACCAACCAATCAAATAATTTACTTGCTTTGCTTCCATGTCTGCTCTATAAAAGCCTTTCCCTTAGCTTCTTTTTTTTTCCTTTTTAAAATAAATTTATTTATTTATTTATTTTTGGCTGCGTTGGGTCTTCGTTGCTGCGCACGGGCTTTCTCTAGTTGTGGCGAGCGGGGGCTACTCTTCGTTGTGGCAGGCAGCCTTCTCATTGCGGTTGCTTCTCTTGTTGCGGAGCACAGGCTCTAGGTACACGGGCTTCAGTTGTTGCGGCGCGAGGGCTCAGTAGTTGTGGCTTACAGGCTCTAGAGTGCAGGCTCAGTAGTGATGTCACAGGGGCTTAGTTGCTCTGTGGCATGTGGGATCTTCCTGGACCAGGGCTCAAACTCGTGTCTCCTGCATTGGCAGGCGGATTCTTAACCACTGTACCACTAGGGAAACCCTTTCCCTTAGCTTCTACCAGTAGAATGTTCCTAACTTCTTTCAGTATCGTGCTGCCCGGTTCAAATCAATGTTTGCTCAAATAAACTCTTGTCAATTTTAGCGTGTTTATCTTTTAACGCACTGATACAAATTTTATTTATCTGCTCATTTTAATTTTTGAAAAGGTAACATATGAATATGCTATAAAATTAAAATGCATTTCCCTGCCACCTTTGTGTACCAGCTATTTAGTTATACCTTCCGTAAGGAGCTGTATCCATCAAAGGAATTCTGGTGTGTGTACATATATCAAATGGCAGCAAATTCTACACACTGACCTGCATCTTGCCTTTTTTCCACTTAATGTAGCTTAGTGATTATTGCATACCCGTGGACATAAAACTGCCTTGTTCTTTCTAACTGCTGCATTTTATTTCATTGTATGGATATGTGTTAATTCACTTAATATATTTGGAAAGTGCTTTGTGATCCAACCTGGAATCTTTTGTTTTAATAGCTAAGTTTAGCCCATTTATAGTTATGATGTAACATAAGTTTGGTCTCAGTTTTCCATTTTTTCCCCTCTAGAGTCAGAATGGCTTAGTGGTTAAGAGTAAGAAATCTAAATATTTTGTATGCAAGTCAGCTGCAGGTCTGGGTGTGTTTATAAGGCAGATGTTCTGCACATGAAGGAGGAACTAAACAAAACTGAAATCTTTTCAGGAAAAGACAGAGGCTGCAATTCCTGGGTTCTAATCCTCCTCTACCAGTTATTGCTGTGTGACCTTGACCAAGTTACTTAACCTCTATGTGCTTTAGTTTCCTCATCTGTAAAACAGGATAATAATTGCAACTATTTTATAGGGTTTTTGTGCTTAAGGTAATGGAACATAGTAAGCACTATGTAGGGGTTATTATTATTTATAATATTATGTATTTTATTACTATTTTAAAAATATTTTTCTATATAGTCTACTTTTTAAAAAAATTTATTTTTGGCTGTGTTGGGTCTTTGTTGCTGAGCGCAGGCTTTTTCTAGTTGTGGTGAGCGGGGGCTACTCTTCATTGCCGTGCGCAGACTTCTCATTGCGGTGGCTTCTCTTTTTTTTTTTTTTTCTTGCGTTATGCGGGCCTCTCACTGTTGTGGCCTCTCCCATTTGCGGAGCACAGGCTCCGGACGCGCAGGCTCAGCGGCCATGGCTCACGGGCCCAGCCGCTCCGCGGCATGTGGGATCTTCCCGAAACGGGGCACGAACCCGCGTCTCCTGCATCGGCAGGCGGACTCTCAAGCACTGCGCCATGCGGTGGCTTCTCTTGTTGTGGTGCACAGGCTCTAGGCACGCGGGCTTCAGTAATTGTGGCACAAGGGGTCAGTAGTTGTGCCTCGTGGGCTCTAGAGCACAGGCTCAGTAGTTGTGGCACACAGGCTTAGTTGCTCTGTGGCATGTAGGATTTTCCCGGACCAGGGCTCGAACCTGTGTCCCCTGCATTGGCAGGTGGATTCTTAACCACTGTGCCACCAGGGAAGAAGTCCCTAATTACTTTTTAAACATTGGATGTGTTTCCTTTGGTAATTTGGAAAGGTTTTTTTTTTTTCTTATAAATGAAAATCTTTATTTCTTATTTTAATCTACAATGATTTCCCTGAGTCTTCAGAAGATTAACTTTTACATAAAATATTAAATAGCAATTATAAATTATACTTTGTTGGAAAGGTTTTATTTTGTACTTTTTGTTACCTTTATAACTATAGAGTTATATAATATAGTTAATCCTTTGTAAAGTAATTATTATATTTCTGTTTCCTCCTCTCTCCCAATCATCCACCATCTGATTTTAGAAGCTATCTTCTTTATCTTAGTGCTTACCATTAAACCTGTAAATATAATTAGACCTTATAATTAAGAATTTCAGGTTAAAAGTATAATTCTGTCCCATTGACAAGGAAATCCACATACATACTCTCTTTTTTTTTCATACTCTCTTATTTTGTTTGCATCTTCTCTTCTTTCTCCTAAGTTTGTTGCTAGTATCATTTGTACATTGTTAGGTTTTAAATATTCACTTTCTATTTTGTAACTGTGATACCCACATTTGTATAACACTTAGTCCTGCACTAATGGATTTACTGCTCATGTTCAGAAAATTTTCTCTGCTGTCTTTTTCTTGAATGACAAGTTTTTTGGGTATAAATATTCTTTCTTTCCTTGAGGATTTTGAGGACTGTATTCTAGTAGTTTCCTCCTCTTTAAAAAAGAGGCAACGGCGAATTTCCTGGCGATCCGTTGGTTAGGACTCTGTGGTTTCACTGCCGAGGGCTCAGGTTCGATCCCTGCTCGGGTAACTAAGATCCCGCAAGCTGCGTGGTGTGGCCAAAAAAAAAAAAAGAGGCAACATTTCCTGGTGAGTGTTCATCTGCCATTTGTGTTTCCTTCTCTTTTCTTTTTTTTTTTTTTTTTTTTTTTTTTTTTTTTTTTTGCGGTACACAGGCCTCTCACTGTTGTGGCCTCTCCCGTTGCGGAACACGGGCTCGGGACGTGCAGGCTCAGCGGCCATGGCTCATGGGCCCAGCCGCTCCGCGGCATGTGGGATCTTCCCGGACTGGGGCACGAACCCGTGTCCCCTGCATTGGCAGGCGGACTCTCAACCACTGCGCCACCAGGGAAGCCCTCCTTCTCCTTTCTTATAGTATCTTTGAATAGAGACTGGATCGGTTCCTTTTTGATTGTTTCTTATCTTGTAACAAAGTGAGCCCCTCCTGGACCAGCTATTTGTAGGAGATTCATTTTCAGGAAAACCTGTGGTCTTGTTCCAGGCTAGCAGGAATCCACTATGGTTCACAACGATTTTCCTTACAACACAAGCCTGAGTGTGGGATTGACTTATGTTATCCTTACCTTCTCTGAAACTTGTAGTTGCAGATTTGTTCATAATGAATTGTTTTGCCTTCCACTTGGCTTCACTGACAGATTGTTTCCAGCAAATGAGTTCCTATGCGATTATTCAGGCGCCCTCTCCTCCTGTTCCTTGGTGCCATTTAGTTCTAGGGATGGTTTCACTGACAGTCTATGAACCCTGTTCTCATTATACCAAAGAAGGTTTTTTGTTTTTGTTGTTGTTGTTGTTGTTTTTCTTTTCAGGGTATGTCACCAACTTTAGAAAGCTCTGCTCTACCAGCTTTGTAGCCACAGATGATCTCTTGGTATCTTCCTAGACTCCTGTTTGACCTTCACAGTGCCACCTCGTTTGCTGTGGGTAGGGGTCATAAATCCTTCTTAGTTTCATCAAAGATGGAGCTACATTTCTTTTACTCATTGGCTTTGTTGTGTTCTCTGAGAGGAGAATAGAGCAGTATGGTCTTTTTGACTCTAATTTAAAAACCAGGGCTTCCCTGGTGGCACAGTGGTTGAGAGTCCACCTGCCGATGCAGGGGTACATGGGTTCGTGTCCCGGTCTGGGAGGATCCCACGTGCCGTGGAGCAGCTGGGCCCGTGAGCCGTGGCTGCTGGGCCTGCGCATCTGGAGCCTGTGCTCCACAATGGGAGAGGCCACAGCGGTGAGAGGCCCGCATACTGCAAAAAAAAAAAACAAACCAAAATATATTTTCACAATTTATACCGTTTATGCATTTTATTTATGTTTTTCTTATGCTAAGATCTCTTTTAGACTGTGACTAATTACTAGTAATTTGATCTTGTAAAAACTATTTTGTATTTTTCTTTTTATAACAGCAACTGAGGCATGAAAATCTCGTGAATCTGTTGGAAGTGTGTAAGAAAAAAAAGCGATGGTACCTAGTCTTTGAATTTGTTGACCATACAGTTCTTGATGACTTGGAGCTCTTTCCAAATGGACTAGACTACCAACTAGCTCAAAAGTATTTGTTTCAGATTATCAATGGAATTGGATTTTGTCACAGTCACAGTGTAAGTGTTTAGTTTAAACAATTATTTAAAAAGTTAAAAATTTAGAAGAGTGTACAATGGACACCCATATACCTACCGCTGAATTCTATACTTGTTAAAACTTTGCTATATTTGTTTTATGACATATTTATTTATCTGTTCATCCATTTATCTACTTATTAATTTGTCTTATTTATGCATTTTCTTAAAGTAAGTTGCAGACTTCAACTCTAAATACTTCAGCTCTGCATGTCATTAACTAGAGTTTGCAGATTTTTTGTTTATTTTGAGGTAACATTTACTGAGTGAAATGCACAAACTTTAAGTAATGAGTTTTGGCAGATACATACATGTAAGAATCCATTTATTTGTTAGTTCAGATTCTCTTGCCTAGTTGTGAAATATGAAAATCCCTGCTATTACTCTGTTGTCTATCACAACAATTTTATATCCTTTGAGAATCATATAAAAGCAATTCTAGGGGACTTCCCTGGTGATGCAGTGGTTAAGAATCCACCTGCCAATGCAGGGGACACAGGTTCGAGCCCTGGTCCAGGAAGATCCCACATGCCGCGAAGCAACTAAGCCCACGCGCCACAACTACTGAGCCTGCGCTCTAGAGCCCACGAGCCACAACTACTGAAGCCTGCGCTCTAGAGCCCATGCTCCACAGCAAAAGAAGCCACCACAATGAGAAGCCTGCGCACCACAACGAAGAGTAGCCCCCGCTCACCACAACTGGAGAAAGCCCGTGTGCAGCAACGAAGACCCAACGCAGTCAAAACTAACTGACTTAATTAATTAATTAATTAAAAAAAAAGAAAACCAGTTCTAGGTAAAATGACACAAAGTATAAAATAACTAACACAGTGATTCTGCCAGTTTTACAAAATATTTTAAATGACATTTTTTGTGTGATTATAAAAGTAACAAATGCTAATGATAGATGCGGGGCTGGCCCTGTGACCTTTACCATGGATGTCTAGGATGTAATAGAAATTGGTAGCATATGCAAAATGCTCAGCAATGTCAATTAGGATGCTGGTCCTCTGAGTTTACAATAAATATATTTTTAAAAATTTTAAAATACAGTTTACTTATATTAGAGAACTAGGCCTCATCATTTGTTTTGCCCAGCTCTAGAATTTTTAACATTGTCTGCCAGTGTCCTGTTTTCTCCTTCCATAGTCTCTCTTTTAGAAATCATAACCAACTGACCTTGTTTTAGCCTCTTTACATTTATAATTGCTTGATGAGTGCCTCCACTTGCGTACTCAGAAATCCACTTAAAAGCCTATATGGCTAAAACTAAACTACTAATTATTCTTAATCAGACCTAACTTTTTCCAGACTTTTCTATTTTTGGTAATGGACCCACTGTTCTTTTAGATTCCCAGGTTTAAGTAAAATATCTGAGATTACTTCCTAAATTCTGTTGCTTCTTGATTTAAAATATTTCTACACTGCACCTCTTCCTTTCCATTCCTTTGAGCATCAGACTAGTTTAGGCCCTTATCACCTCCTAGTTGTCCCACTGCTCTCGTCCCCACTTCTAGTCCCCCTCTCTGCTTTACCTTGTTCATGGCCAACATCTTCTTTAAACACCTTGTTGGTCATGTCACTTCCATGGGTTCCCATGGCCCTGACACAAGCTCAGACTTCCCAGAGTGGCAGTTGAGGCAAAACCTAGTACATAACCTCTACTCCAGGAAAAACATTTCCCCAGCATCTCCTGATCTATTCCCATCTTCACTCTTTTGCTCTTTTTGCTACCCTCACTTGGATTGCCCTTTCATTTCTACATTTATCCAGGTCATACTAGTGTTAAAGACCTGTCTTAGAGCCCACCCTTTTCCACAAAAATTTTCCCAGACCAGCCCAGTCTTCAATGACAGCTTTACTCTCTTAGTCTTGAGAGCAGTCCTTATCAGAGCAATTGATTTGGTAATTAATAATATATATTTCATCCAATATCTTTGATCATTTAAATAAAATTTTAAGCATAAATGTTCTTTTTTTCCCAACTAGGTCCCAGGTTTTTTAAAGCCAGGAACAGTTTTATAGGCTTTTATTTGTACTTATTATAGGGAGAAAAACAGTGCCCTGCATATGACAGGTGCTCAAAAATAATTAGTTTGCTTAACTTGATGTGCCAATATATTTCATACTCTGCTTTTTGTCTTAGATCATACACAGAGATATAAAGCCAGAGAATATATTAGTCTCCCAGTCTGGTGTTGTCAAGTTATGTGATTTTGGATTTGCGCGGACACTGGCAGCTCCTGGCGAGGTTTATACTGATTATGTGGCAACCCGATGGTACAGAGCTCCAGAGCTATTGGTTGGTGATGTCAAGTATGGCAAGTAAGACATCAGCAAGGTGGGCGGTAGGGAGGGCAGATTTAACTCTCTTTTCTTGATAAAATGGAACATGTTTTTAATATGATGAAAGATCCCTCTAACACTGAAAGGAAGTTTTCAATTTAGAGAACTTTATAAAGTTATTTGTAAACATTTTTGGTGCTCCCCCTTTGAACATTCTTGTGAAACAAGTTGGTGTGAGTATAATTATTTTAAAGGTAGGGAAATCAAGGTAAGTGGTCTGTTTTTAATAGTAAGTTAGAAATAGGTATATTTATCACTTGTAAAGAGAGGTAACATTGACTGAGTAAGTCTGACACTTGCAATGAGGCAAAGTAGTGTGGGCAAGGGTGAGGGTAGAAATGGAACTGAGTGAATAGTTTTAAAAACATAAATCGTCTTCATAAATGAATTCTTCAAAGAAGAAGGGATTGAAAGTTTTACTGATTTTGATAGAAATCATTCTAAAGTATTTTTTTTGCAATTTCTCTGTTTTCAGAGTACACGTCATTTAATATTTTCTTAATTACTCTGAGCTCTCATTTTACCGCCATACTGTCACTTTTGTACCATGTTATAATTCCACTATGGCCTTAAGCAATTTCAAGGTAGTTGTCCCTTTGGTAATGATGCCGGAATATTCTTTAAGTTTTGGGGACCGATTTTTAAGACAGTTTTTCTATTTCCCCCTATTAGCTTCCAGTTCTCCTTGTTGTTTGTGTTCGCAACATCCATCTCCTTCTGGTATGCTGTTTTCAGCGTACAGTGGGATAGACTGAGGAACCTTGTCAAAATTATGTGTGAACAAAAAATGAATAGCCACTGAATGGAAACCCAAAAGGCTTATTTTCAGAATAAAGTAGACTTAACAACTGTTTTGAGTCTTCCGAAGTCTTTTCCCTCATGTCACATGATTGAAGTTTCTGGAAATTTGATTTATGTAAAATTGGAAATTAATACTTTAAGTTTATAGGGAAATGTATTTTGTAGAGTAATCTAAGGCTTACTACTACTTTTTTCAGTACCAAGAATACCAAATAGTAATATGCAGAACAGATTCAGTCATAGTAAGCATAGTAGGATGCCAGGTTTTATACCACATTGTTTTTCTTTCAGGGCTGTTGATGTGTGGGCCATTGGCTGTCTGGTAACTGAAATGCTCATGGGGGAACCCCTTTTTCCTGGAGATTCTGATATCGATCAGCTATATCATATTATGTTGTGTTTGGGTAAGATTATACGTCTGCATTTTAAATTTTAGTGATTTTTTTCCCTATGTTTTTGTTTGTTTATGTTTAGTTTACAAGCTGTTGGTACATTAAAGATGATGCGTGTTTTGAATGGGTGTAGGGAGCAAGTAGGAAAAACTCATCTATCTCTCTCTTTATATATATTCAGTCATTCTCAGTCTGGCTTTTGTCTATCTGACATATTGTCCTGATCATGCTCTCACCTGCCCTCCTGCCAACTCCCCCGCTAAAGAAAAAAGCAAACATTGTACATTCTCTCTGCACTTTTGCATTCAATAAATCACATGTAGAGAGAATACAAATGATATTATCTTTGGGTCTGCAAGCATTTGTGTTATATGCCTATTACCCTCTTTCTCATCTTCAAACTGAGAGACACAGGGACTTCCAAAGTAATTTTTTTTTGCCGTACGACGCGGGTCTCTCACTGTTGTGGCCTCTCCCGTTGCGGAGCACAGGCTCCGGTCGCACAGTCTCAGCGGCCATGGCTCACAGGTCCAGCCGCTCCGCGGCATGTGGGATCTTCCCGAACTGGGGCACGAACCCGCGTCCCCTGCATCGGCAGGCGGGCTCTCAACCACTGTGCCACCAGGGAAGCCCCTTCCAAAGTAATTTAATCTTGCTGCAGTTCTGACTTTTGTTGCTAGTGCTTTGGACAGAATTTCAAAGCTAGACTATCAAAGTCATCTTACATTTGTTGAAATATCAACTTTCTGTTGGGTGATGGAGTTTGTAAAATAGAAATAATGGGTAATTACTTGAGGGTTATTTAACTCTTAGATTTTAGTTTCCAGGTTAGAAGTTCAATAAACAATACAATGGTTTCTTATAGCAGAATTTTCATATATATTTTATATTAGGTTAGGTATTAAAGTTGAGAGAAAAGATAAAAGTGATCAAATCAGCCCTTAGATACAGATACACTGGGCAAAAATTAAATTCTTAAAGGGTGGAACTTATTTATCTAGATTAGATTCTGACCATATGACTATTAATATTTTCATCTTTGGTCAGCACTTTATGCTTTGTAGTTAGAAATGCAGTGCTGGTACTTATTATCTAAGAAATTATACAATGTTCTTTACCTGTGCTTTTCCTATACTCCCTTGTGTCTTCAGTTCTATGTATAGTAGCGTGTGAACTTTTCTGAATGAGTATGTTGAGATAAGAATGTTAATTTCTTTTGCATTGACTTATGTCAAAGCCACCTAAAGACTGCCAGGCGCCACCACAGTAAGAGCGCTGTGTTCGGTTGTTTTTGCATGCGGAGAGAGTCCCTGCTCTACAAGCTGTGTTACACTCATCTCTACTCCACACCACCTGTCCCATGATGCGTAATGACAGAGATGTGTGCCATTCTCACTGCCAGGTAATCTCATTCCAAGACATCAGGAGCTGTTTTATAAGAATCCTGTGTTTGCTGGAGTAAGGTTGCCTGAAATCAAAGAAACGGTTCCTCTTGAAAGACGCTATCCCAGGCTCCCTGAAGTTGTGATAGATTTAGCAAAGGTAATCGTACTTTTTCTTTGCACTTTCTGACAGGGAATTTACATTATGGAGATTTGATTTTCTCTTCGTTTTTTCTTGTCCAGTTGATCTTTTAGGACAACAGTTTCCTCTGATGATTTAAATTTTTGTACATTTTAAGAGTTTTATTTGGTGGGCGTGGGGATGGAGGGACTTTAGAGATAAAGACCTGAAAATTTTGCTTGTTTTAAGAAACTATTTCATATTATCTGGCAACTCTTAAGTGTGAAAACATTCTCATAATGACATGTTTTTAATGTTTAACATTTAAAATGCAAGCCTTGTGTAAGTGGAAAAGAGAAGAAAAATAGGGTAAGAAAATAAAAAGAAGGGTAGAGAAGCAGGAAAATATTAAAGTCTAAGGCATAGGATCATGGCCTGTAGTGTATTGTTAAAAGGGGGCTTTTGCTTAACCACTAGATTCACTGAAGCTAATTTTTTTTTTTTTTTTTGCGGTATGCGGGCCACTCACTGTTGTGGCCTCTCCCGTTGTGGAGCACAGGCTCTGGACGCGTAGGCTCAGTGGCCATGGCTCACGGGCCCAGCCGCTCCGCGGCATGTGGGATCTTCCCAGACCGGGGCACGAACCCGTGTTCCCTGCATCGGCAGGCGGACTCTCAACCACTGCGCCACCAGGGAAGCCCTGAAGCTAATTTTTAAATGATCATCACCTTTGCCTTGTATTTGATTGAGGAAGACTTTAGGGAGATTCTCACTGGATCAAATTGTCTCTAAAAGTGGACCTTTTGGAATTATTAGCTCAAAAATTTCTTATTAGTTAGGATTGTCCAAAAGTGTTGATAAACTAAGTATCTCTAAAAGAGCAGGGTCGTATAACATTTACCCAAGGTATTTTTTGCCTTTTTACTTCTTTAAATAACTCATTAAAAAAAAGCTTAGTAAGCTTATAACTAATTATAGCAAGTTCTTAGAATAATACATTGTTATTTTTCTGCATAATCTAACAGATACAAATATTTTTCATTGAGACAAGCTTTATGATCTGTCTGTGAAGAGATTTAAAGGGAATAAAGGTAAAACAATATTGTCCAACTTATATCCCTTACGGTAGAATCATATAACTTTTTAAACATTTTATTATAAGAAATCTCAAACATAGAAAAGAAAGAAGAAAAAGCAGTGGTGTCATGAACCCTCACGAGCTAGTCATTAGCTACAACAATTGACAATATTTGGAAAATATTTCATCTATCCTGTCCACACACTCAGCAACTTTTTTTTTTGGAGTATTTTGAAGCAAATTCCAGATATTATATTATTTCACTTATAAATGCCTTAATTATTTGTAGAATTTTCTTGTTCATTTAAAGGTACTTATTGATAACTCCCTTCCATTCTTACTGGCAGTGAGTGGTTCCAGTGAATCAGAACAAGATATAATAAAATCTGTAATAAAATGAAAGAACATAGATAAAATAAAATCATCTATGTCAAGTATCTAGCACAGTAATAAGCACAGAGTAGGTTCTTTCCCTTCCATTCTGTAAGTACTTTAAATTTTAAAAATTCACAAAAATTCTTAAATATCATAAAATATCTAATCAGTGCTCAAAATTTCATTAATTTTCTCATAATTTCTTTTTATAGTTTGAATTAGGATCCACATGAAGACTAGAGTTCGCAATTGCTCGATATGTCTTTTCAGATTCCTAATTTACAAGCTGTTCTTCATCTCTTTGTTTTTTGTTTAAACCTTTTGCCATTTATCTGTTAAAGACAATAGGTCGTTTGTCCCTTAGAATTTTCCACAGTATGTTCCTTGGTGTCCTGTATTTTGTATAAACTCACAGCAGAGCTAGAGCTTGATCAGAATCAGGTTGATTTTTTGGCAAGCCTCCTTCATAAGGTTTGTATATTTCTGTCCAGAGACACTGAATGTCTGGTGTTCTTTTTTTTTGTGATATTAGTAATCATTGGGAGTCATTGTCTAGATTTGTGCTTTATTATTTATCATTTATTATAGATGTTTAAAATTCATTGACTGTGGAAAGGAATTTTCTATATTTAGAAATGTAAGTATAGGCAGTTTTTCTTTGATATGAACTGTATGTATTCCTTGGTTTCCCAGAAATGCTTGCATATTGACCCAGACAAAAGGCCCTTCTGTGCTGAGCTCCTGCACCATGACTTCTTTCATATGGATGGATTTGCTGAGAGGTATAGTACTGTGTTTTCTAGGTCATACCAACCTAGAGTTAAAGTAAGGCCCCCATAACAGTACATAACTGTAACAAACAGTATTTCTCTCATTACTCTACCCACCTACTATTACAGGAGCTCAAATATTTACCACCCTACCTCAGTTCACCCTTAGCAATAATGTATTCCTAAGAGTGGTCCCCTGCATTCAGTAAATTAGGGCTCTTGGTTTTCACGAAGCAGTCCCTTCGTGCTTTCTTTCTGTCTCCCCCTGGTGACATCTACCACTCAGGTCACTGATTTCTGTGTTGCTACCAGCTGTGTGGTGCCATCATCTTGGGTGCTGATGCATTTGCAATGGTGCCATCTCCTGTTGCTGCTGAACTCATACCACACCCAGTCCTATGACACTGCTGACACTGCTGATGTGCTGGAGACCTTGATGTGCCAAACCTGTAGGTGCCAGAGCGGCTGGCATGGTCTCCTGTGCTGTTCCAGCTACTGGCATCAGTGCCGCTGACAAAACAGAAAGTAGTGAGATGAGTGGCAATGACATTGCTTTATATTTTTGCAAATCTATTTACTATCTAGCTGAATAAAAGATAGCTGGGTTCTCATATTTGCTTCTGTATTCGATTAGTTGTGATATGTTGTTTTGGTTGAAATAAGTGGAGAAACTCTGGCCTCATACAAATATGTAATTGGAAAATGGAAGAGTATTTTAATAGCCCTTTTAGATTACTGTGGGTATTCTTCTTTGATTCTATACCAAAACTGACAGTGGTAGTTTCTTTAACGTTGCTTGCATTGTGGAATCTGAAACCATACCAATGAACTTCTTATCCCATTACATTAAAATCCACTTGGCTAGCTTGCACTTTGAATTGACCTTTTACCCATGCATGCTTTTGTAGCGTGATGCATTAGTCATTTGGAAAATATTGTTTTGCTAAGTTATGCAGAGCTTTAGAATGTTGATATTTCATTATACAATATCAAAAAGTCATATTCTCTCTCATCAGAAAAGTCTTCAGTATTAGGAATCTGCTAAGTTCATGGTAGTGGAGACAAGTTGAACAGAATTCTAATTTTGCATAAAATTTTGAATTTTATCATTGATGCAAATATTATCAGTTGTTTTCCTTGAAGTAACAATCTCCTTTGTTCATTTTTTTAAAAGAAAATATCTGCTGAATACCACAAGTCTGAATAATAATAATAATTTTTTTTCTGTCAGTCTTTCAAGTAATAATGTTACCCCATGAAAAAAGTGGCTAGTTTAGCTTGTATCTCAACCAGTCATACAAGTGCTTTTCTTCAGACAACCATTGCACTTTGATTTGTAGCAGAGGTACTTTATGCATATTCCTATTTTGTCACACAGGATGTGGAAAAAGATATGTTCAGGGGTTTAGATTTAATTAAATAAATATATATATTTTTTACTGCTCCATCAGGGACATTCTTAAACAAAACTGCCCCCCACCCCTTTTAACCTGAGAATGTGTGGCTAGGAAGGATACAATAACTGCTAGTAAAGTTTGGTGCCACTGCTTCAGTTCTTGGTAAGCCACCTGCAATTTTACCCCCCACTGCTTTTTATACCATCAGTGCAAATGTCAACACGGTGAAAAAGAAGTCGCCTTCGTAATAAGATAAGAGCTTTGACCTCGTGAACCTCCTGAAATGTTCTCAGGGATTCCCAGTTCTGCAGACTACCTCATTTCTTGTTTTGAATAACACGGTTGAGTTTAATACTCAATTTTTAAAAATAAATATCTTGAAAAACATTTTTTTTCTAGATTTGTCTGTCTCATACAATCTTATTTTATTGACAAATGTATTTTTATGTAGGTTTTCTCAGGAACTGCAGTTAAAAGTACAGAAAGACGTCAGAAACATTTCTTTATCTAAAAAACCCCAAAACAGAAAGAAGGAAAAGGAAAAAGATGATTCCTTGGGTGAAGAGAGAAAAACACTTGTGGTACAGGTAAATTTCCATGTTTTAATGTGTATTAAATTTTAAATTTAATATATCCTTAAATTTGGGGGTGGGGGGCAGGGAATACTGAAGATCTTAAAAGTTTCCTGAGTGGCTAACAAGTTAACTTTTAGCTTACTTGTAAAAATGTATCTTTTCTGTAGACATTACCTGTTAAAAAAAAATCTTAGCATATCATGTACTGAATGCCTACTGTATGCCAGTCTGTGCAATAGGGCTTGTCAGGAAATCACACTCATCCAAGAGCATTTAGACACACGTGTCCACACCCACATGCAAACACATGGACACAAACACATGCACACACCATTTTTTTGCCTTAAATGATAGGAAAGAAAAATATAATTTTTAGAATTTTATATAAAGTAGAGCATTTAAAAATTGAGATTTGGGTACTCAGTTTATTTGAAGTTTACTTTTCTTGGTAATTTATCCAGAATCTGTTCTTGGTAAGATAATTCAAATCTACCACCAGCCCACTCCCATTTTCTCAAGTGAACCCAAAGAAGAAAGAGCCCTCAATTCTGTGTTCCCTGACTCTTAAATATATGAGAACAAAAGTGAGCATGTTTGAGTCCTCGTCCATTGTTTTCCACTGAAATATAAATGTGATATGTGTGTATATCATTAAATCTGATATATATATATATATATAAAATATACATCTATATCTCAGAGCTAGTGTGAGTTTCATTTTCATTTGAAATAGATGTCTGACTGAGAATCCCGGGTTTAATTATAATTCCATAGGTAGAATAAGAAAAACTGGAGCACAAGAGGTGATATCTCGGACTTCCCTGGCAGTCCAGTGGTTAAGACTTCCAATGCAGGGGCCCCTGGTTTGATCTCTGGTCAGGGAACTAAGATCTCACATGCTGCACAGCACAGCCAAAAATTTTTTTAAAAAAAGATGATATCTCTGGAATTCTGCTTTCGTTGATAAAGTACTTTATAGGAAAAGGTGATTTTTCATTCTCCTCAGATCATTAATGTTATTAACATTTTTGTAACAGGATACAAATGCTGATCCCAAAATTAAGGATTCTAAAGCATTTAAAATAAAAGGATCAAAAATGGATGGAGAAAAAGTTGAAAAAGTCAGTCGAGCTTCAAATGCCAGCTGTCTCAATGACAATGGGATGAGCCACATCAAAACAGTGCCTTCCACAAGCCTCCCAGATTGCAGCAATGGCAGCGTGGGCTGCACAAGAAATCCAGGCATGGCAATTCCTCCACTTACGTACAACCTTTCTGCGGTGGCTCCCACTATTAATTCTGGAATGGGAACTATCTCAGGAGTTCAGAGTTACAGGTATGAATTAGGAAAATAAGAACAAAATGTTGTTTAAGGAAAGGACATCTTTACAAATTGCAAATATTTATCAGTTCAGCCACATGTATTATTACTCTCAGGTTTCTGAATCCTATTCATTTTTGTCAGGTTACTGTTTCAAAAGACTTCTTGGCTAATGTGATAAAAATGATTAGCATTTGATCAAAAAATTTACCTGAGTCCTAAGAAAATAAGGTTGTATTATTTAAGGTGAAGGAATCTATAGCTATTTAGTCTAATAACACAAAAGGAGTTTGTCATTATAAAAGAGATAATTGGTTTTGAGTGTCTGCTGCTTCACGGCATGGCTGTGGGCATGTAATAGTACAAAGGAGCTCCTGTTGGGAATTTCGCAGAAAGGAAGGTAATTTATTGGCAGTGAAGGCTGGGTGGGAGGCATGAGGGTAGTGGTAAAGGACAGAATGTTTCACCAGATCTGTGAGCATTGTATGTTTAAGAATAGGCATTAAATTCTGATTAAACTGCATGTCACTTGATGTTGGGTCTTTTGATTTTGTGCTTGAAAAAAATAATTACTGCTGGGTCTAACGCAAATTTTTTTGTTGCTTTTGTTACAGAGTGGATGAGAAAACCAAGAAGTATTGTATTCCATTTGCTAAACCAAATAAACATTCTCCAGCAGGAGTTTATAATATTAATGTGACCACATCGGTAAGTGAACTGTTTCAGAAGCAGAAGAGCAAACATTAGTCATTTCTAGACTTTTATTAATAGTAAATATGATAGTGAAGAACTGAGAGTTTTATTGAGAGACGTATCATAAAGTGGAAACTTAATTATGTATGTATCATCCCAGCGTGTCAAAATCATAACTGTGAGAGACAAGTTTAAGTTTCGTAAGTCTGGAAATTTAAACATAAGATGTTATTATTATATAGAATGAATAAACAACAAGATCCTACTGTGTAGCACAGGGAACTATATTCAATATCCTGAGATAATGGAAAAGAATATAAAAAAGATATATATACGTATAACTGAATCACTTTGCTGTACAGCAGAAATTAACCCAATATTGTAAATCACCTATACTTCAATAAAAAGATGTTATTATTAAAATGATATCTGTTTTAATTTTTTCAGTAATGGTAAAGTTTCTTAACCTAATGCTTGGTGATCAGTTCTTTTTTAGAGTAGATGAGAAGATAAGTTGTCTTATCTCACCCACACCAGGTTTCTGGTGGAAATAGTCTATTTATTCATTTAATAAATATTGATTATCTATTATGTTTAAGTCACTGAAGAAGAATGTCAGTCTTTCTCTTCAGGAATCTCGTGGTTTAGTAGAGAATCAACAGATTAAAACAGTGTAAGATTGCAGTAGTAGAAGCATGTCAAGATTCAGAGGTCTTCTGAAGGTTCAGAGGAGCATTATTATGCTGAACACAGCTGCCAGAATGCTTCTTTTTAAAGTTAAGTTGAATCATCATTGTTCTTCCACTCAAAACCCTCCATTGGCTTCTCATCTCTGAGTAAAGACCAAAGTGCTTTTAGGGCCTTTTAGTCCCTGAGTGACTCACTCCCTCATCCCTCTGTCCCACCCTTGGCTACTCTCATTTTTGATCACTCCATTCCAACCACATTGATTGCCTTGTTATTCCTGGAACATGGCAAGATATACTCCCACATATGGGTTTTTGGACTTGCTATTTCCTCTGTTTTAGAACATTCTTTCCCCAGATAATCCAAAGAATTTGCTTTTTCTCCTCCTTGGCTTACATGAAACCTTATTGTGAGGTCTTCCCAAATATTTTAACTCATTTTGTCTATTATTCTCTCCCCTCCCCTTGCTTAATTGTTTTTTTCCATTGCCTTACCTGACATCCTCTATTCTCTTATTTATATATGGTCTGTCTCTCCCTCCCCCTGCCCACCACCCCGAATGTAAACTTCCAAGGAAGGATTTGTGCTTTGTTTTCCTCACTGCTCTACCCCACACCTAGAACAGTGTCTAACGCATTGAAGCTGCTTAAGAAATGTGGTGGATAGATTTTTCTGCCAGGGAAGGGGAGGTATGGATGTATTCCCCAAAGAGTATTTTTCTCACACATTTCCCTTCTCTACCTCTCCCATTATCCTCAGAGCTGAAAAATAGAGCCGCCTTTTCATATCTCTCATGATTGCAATTGTTTTTCTTTTAACTATTCTTAGCTTATAATTTCTGTACCCATAATACTTTCCTTTTTGATATATCCTACTCATTTATTTGTGGATATTTTTGTGTTTTACATTCCTGGTCTGCTCTGGAAGATTATTTTGATCAGCAAGTCTTTTCAAAGTAGCCGGCTCAATACCATTTTGCTGGAATTGATATTAACCTTCTTTCAGGCGTTGCATTATCAATGCTGGCTGATAATCTTAGATCTCATTTCTGTTTATCCTTCTTTGGAATAGGCAATCAAGAAAGGAGGTAAAGATTAGTAGGGAGAAGACCCACTGGAGTCTTTTCTTAATGAAAATTAACCGAGGCAGAACTAAGGCTAAACTTTCTTCAACTTCTAGGTTGAACATCAATAGCCTTCTCCCATGCTTTATGCCCTGATTCTGAGATGTGAATACATATATTATTATAAACATCTCTTATGTATTTTATGTGTCACTTTTTTTTGTAAATTTAGTTATTTATTTATTTTTGGCTGCGTTGGGTCTTCATTGCTATGTGTGGGCTTCTCATCGCGGTGGCTTCTCTTGTTGCGGAGCACGGGCTCTAGGCGCACGGGCTTCAGTAGTTGTGGCCTGCGGGCTCTAGAACGCAGGATCAGTAGCTGTGGCGCACAGGCTTAGTTGCTCCGCAGCATGTGGGATCTTCCCGGACCAGGGCTCGAACCCGTGTTCCCTGCATTGGCAGCCGGATTCTTAGCAACTGTGCCACCAGGGAAGCCCATGTGTTACTTTTTGAGTATATAAATCTAGTAGTTTGGACTTATTATTTTATTTTATTGTTTTATACTTGCAGGTAGTTTTTTTTAAAACTAATTATTTTATTTTACAGCTGACTTGAACCTTGAGCCTTAGCACTCATTCTATTAAAAGAGCAAATAGAGGGGGCTTCCCTTGGTGGCACGGTGGTTGAGAATCCACCTGCCAATGCAGGGGTAATGGGTTCGAGCCCTGGTCCAGGAAGATCCCACATGCCACGGAGTAACTAAGCCCTTGTGCCACAACTACTGAGCCTGTGCTCTACACCCCGTGAGCCACAACTACTGAGCCTGTGTGCCACAACTGCTGAAGCCCGCTTGCCTAGAGCCCGTGCTCCACATCAAGAGAAGCCACTGCAATGAGAAGCCCACGCACTGCAACAAAGAGTAACGTCCGCTCTCTGCAACTAGAGCAAGCCCATGTGCAGCAACGAAGACCCAATGCAGCCATAAATAAATAAATAAATAAATTTATTTATTTATTTTTTTAAAAAAAGAGAGAGCAAATAGAAACAGCCAAAAGAAAGACACTCAAAAGCTCACTACAGGACTTTTGAAGACTTTCTGAGAGGCAGAGTAGCATAATTCACAGAATATTAAACTCGAGGTGTCTGGAATCTCAGTGGCTTAACACTGTCATTATACTCTTTGTGTGTATATTTCAGTATACATATGTATATGTGGATATACATGGACATACATAGGATTTCATTATGTATATGTGGTTTCTTTGCTTTTAGTAAATCATATAATCTCTCTATGTATCATCTGTTTTGAAAATGTGGAAAAGAATGTAGAGTTTCTGTGATTCTCAAATGAAACAGATTGGGAAAATGTCAAGTTCATAAAGGTGCAGAATTAAAGTGCTGCTGTGCTGTTCTTCTCTGTATTATTTTTCCAGACTTTATCAAATATGAAGTAATAGTGCTTAGAAAGATTAGGAATATGATTGAAGTTATAATTTTATACTTAAGAAACTGTATTTCTAGGAAAATGCTATTTGCTAACAGTGAGGAGTAAAACAAGGACAGATGTAAAAGAATGAGTCACAAGATTATTATTGGGAAAGCGGAAAATGTGCTAGGAGATGTGATATACATGACAAGATGAACTATTCCAAATTCATGTGGCAACAGCAACTGTGCTAAAAAGCCCAGCAAGTGTCATAAGACCTGACCTTGCTGGCCTGAAAGACCAGGACACTGATGCCCATCTTTTAACCTTGTACTGCTTGCCAGGACTTACACTGAAGTTTTGGTGGAGGAAGGAGGAGAAACTCATAGCAACAAACCAATCTGCTTGTTAGTAATTTTAATAGATTTAAAGAGGAAGAGGTTTGAAATAACTGGATGAAATTGTTTTGTATGTTATTAGTGTTCTTCAAATTTTGTATTATTCTAGCTTTTCAATTCTGTAAATGTTAGGATATGAACATAGTAGTTATGAAAGGGGGCAAGCTTACCTGGAGGCTAATTCATTTGTGTTAACCATTCTGATGATATTAGGTTGCTAGTGAAAAGAGTCTACTTCAGGCAAATAAGAAAAGAAGGGAATACTCAAAGAGAGATGTCCGTTTGCCTGAACTAAACTATAATCATCTCCCTGAACTAAAAGCCTTGGAAGGCATCGGTATGTTTGTAACGCTTTTACTTTTTCAGCCCTTTTGTTTACATTATTTAAAATGTATGTTAAATAAACTAATAGAATATTAAAAATTTATAGTAACTTTACATATTTAAGTATGTGAAAATGTACAGACTTATGTACAATAAGTACATACCAAGGGACAGATACTGAATGTGAAGAACTAGCAAAAATGTCTGATTTTCTCACTGTGTTTATGGTTATTTTTATCTAGCTCGAAATTCCAGGCTAATAAAGAAGGAGAACAAAAATCTTTCCGAATCTCGAATTCCTTCTCTGGTCGCTATTGACTTGCACACCTTCAATACTGCATTACATCAGGTATAGAAATACTCTCTGTAGGACGCGTGGAACTCGGGTCTCTCTCATATTTCCTTTTAAAGTGTCCTATGGAGAGTTTGCTCTTAAGAATTGGGCAGGTTTATTAGTGGGGTCTATAAAATTTTGCTTGTTAAATTTTGTTTTATGGCTCATTGCATTAAGTACCCTTATTACATATATATTTACATAAACATTTCCCAGCTTACAGTGATCAATTTTTCATAGATTAAAAAATTGTGTGTGTGTGTGCATGTGTGTGTGTAGCCTAGCTGTGGCTTTAATATAACTATAGGCTTTATGGTAGTTTATGATATTTCACTGCATTGATACCAAAGTTGTTACCTTTCAAAGAGTGAAACTCTTTTTGGAATAGTTTTTATTATCTTAAAATGTATTCTCCATTTGATACTTTTCCCCGGGGCAATCCATTCCATCCATGCTAAAGATTTTCTATTCCATATAGTCTTTTGCTATAATTCCTCTTACCTCTTCAGAATATTTATGTTTCTGCTACTTTCATATCAACAACAGTCATATCACTAAGAAAACTGGCCAACTTTTTAATCTCCTGAGCCATCCATAAGTAACTACAAACTTGGTATATGAATCATTGAACTTTCCCTTTACTTCTTCAAACAGATTTTCACCTTTGCTTGATGCTAGGCAACTTTTGTTTTGGAATTCTCCATCCTCATTGTTTAAGGATTTCCATTTCATAGACAGCCCCTCCATTTCATAGACAGCCCCGTATGTAGCCTCCTTCTCTATGCCGATGCTTTTTCCTACTGTTACTCTTTAAATTATTTTGTAGAGCTCTGCAAACAAGGGGAATGATATTGTTGAGGAAAACAAATTGCAGAGGCAGTTACCCAGTGATTCTGAAAAAAACATTTACAGACTGCTGCTGCTTTTGCCTTATCTCTTGCCAGCAATTTCGGGAGCAGCATCGTCAAAGCTAAACAAATTCCTGTTGTGTGAAGATGAATCACTGCCACAGATTTTACATTTAGGGACTACAGAGTCTCAGGAAATTCCTGTATACTTCTAAACTTAAATATGGATTTTAAAGCTGCAGAATTTTCCACTTGCTCTTTGTGAGCACACTATTGTTCAAATCACTTTTCAGGGTTGACATAGCTCAATCTAGTTTCATGCAATGGAAGAAAGGCTTTGGCTGCCTTCCCACTTCTTCAATATTTTTATTTCTCATTCGGAACTAATCCTTTTATATTTATAAACTGGTTCTGCATTTTTACTCTCAGGTTATTTGTTAAATTTCCATTTGCATTTAAAATAAAGAAGAAAGTAGGTGTAGTGAAAAACACAAATTAACACCAAAGTAACACGAGCTTATGTCTGGAAAATCTGAGTGGAAAGAGAACAGGAGACTGAAAGCAAAAGGCCTGCTGGCAGAGGCTGTGACCTGCCTTGCAGTCTTACTTTATGGTATTCATCTATGCACTGAACTACATTTTGTTTCTGTACATAACACAAACATTTTCACATTTATGAAACTCTATGATGTACCTCTGGAACAATCTGTAAGATAGATTTTGTAAGTAAAATATTACTTAATCCATGGAATCTGTCTCCACTCCCTCACCCCCTACATGCTTACATGTCTTACGTACTTATAGACATAGCTTCAGATTTTTTCCTCTAAGCACTGTTTTCTTTATCCCACAAATTTCGATATGTTGTATTTTCATTATCATTCCATTCAAACATTAAAACATTTTTCCTTGTAATTTCTTCTTTAACCCAGTAATTATTTAGAAATGTGTTGTTTAATAGTTAGATATTTGGGCGTTCCTTAGATATTTTATTATTAATTTGTAATTTAATTCCATATGGTCAGAGAATATACTCTGTATGATTTTGATTTTTTTAGATTCACTGAGATGTGTTTTATGGCCCAGCACGTGGTCTATCTTGGTGAATGAACCTTGTTCTCTTGAAAATAATGTATATTCTTTAGTTGTTGGATATAGTATTCTATAAATGTGAAATCCAATTAAGGTTGATGGTGTTGTTTAGACATTCTATATCCTTGATGGTTTTTTTGTTTAGTTCCATCAGTTCCTGAAAGAGTGCTGTCAAAATCTTTTACTGTGATTGTGGAATTATCTATTTTCCTCTTACATCTGTCTGTTTTTGCTTCATGTATTTTAAATCTGTCTTATTAGGTACATACACATTTATACTTGCTTTGTCTTCCTGATACATTCTCCCTTTTATCATTATGAAATGTCTCTTTCTCTCATGGTGCTCTGTGCCTTGAAGTCTATTTTATCTGAGATTAAAGTAGTCACTCCAGCCTACTTCCACTTATTTGTTTCCATAGTATATCTTTCTACTTTCATTTACTTTCAACCTATCTGGTTTTGTATTTAAAGTGTTTCTTTTGCCAACAGCATATAAATTAGGGTCTTCCCTTTGTAGCTATTCTCTCAATTCTGATTCTTTTAATTGGAATGTCTGTCTGTTTTCTATTTCTGCAAACAAATTACTACCAACTTAAAACAATCTCCATTTATTATAGGTTCCATAGGTCAGAAGTCCAGGCACGGCTGCTGCTCTCCTTAAGAGTCTCATGGCCTGAAACCAAGATGTCAGCAGGGCTGCATTTCTTTCTGGAGGCTCGCGCGGGTATCCGTTTCCAGGCTCATTCACGTTGTTGGCAGCATCTAGTTCCATGTGGTTGTGGGACTGAGGTCCCTGTTTCCCTGCTGGCTGGCTCCTGGGAGTTGTTCTCCTTCTCAGCTTCTTGAGGCCACTCACATCCCTTGGCTCATGGCCTAATTCCATGATCCTCAAAGCCAGCAACAGTGGTTGTACCTTTCTTACTCCTTGACTCTCTCTTACGTCCCCTTCTGCCTCATCTTTCTGACGTTCTTCCCATTTTAAGGGCACATGTGATTTCTTGGGCCCACCAGGATAATCTCCCTATCTTAGGGTCAGCTGATTAATAGCATTAATTCCATGTGCAAAGTCCCTTCACAGCAATAGCTAAATTAGTTTGATTGACTAGCCAGGGACAGGAATCTTAGTGGAATATCTTTAGAATCCTGCCTACCACTAAATATTTAGGCCATTAACATTAATGTGATTATTGATATGTTTGGATCTAGCTCTATCTTTTTATTAGTTGTTTTTTGTTTTCCCTTTCCAGCCTTCTTTTGTATTTGAATATTGTTAGTATTGGCTTTTTGGAGATACCTCTTTGCATTATTTTTTAGTGACTTCTCTAGGGATTACAGTATACATAACTAATCTTTCATAGTCTACTTAGAGTAATTGTACCACTTATAAAATGTAGAAACCTTGCAAATGTATTTCCGTTCCTCCCACCTGAACTTTATGTTACAGTTTGCATTTGTATTTTGTTCACATACATTGAAAACCTCACTATACTATGTTATACCTTGTGCTTTCAATAGTCATAAGTATTTTATGGGAAGAAAGTAGTTTTCTATGTTTACCTAGCTACTTACTGTTTCTGTTGTTCTTCGTTCTTAAAGATTACAGTTTTATTTTCTGAAAGACCTCCTTTAGTGTTTCTTGCAGAGCAGGTCTGATGGTGACAAACTCTTTTAGTTTTCTTTCATTTGGGAATGACATTATTTTGCCTTCTTTCCTGAAATATATTTTCACTGGATATAGAATTTGAGTTGGTAGGTTTAAAAAATTTCTTTTTCTCTCAGGACTGTAAAGGTATTAATTCTCTGTCTTCTGATCTCTATGATTTCTGGTGGGAAATTCTCAGGTATTTGAATTGTTACCCTTAAGTAATGTTTCATTTTTCTCTAGCTGCTTTCAAGATCTAATCTTTTTTTTTTTTTTTTTTTTTTTTTTTTGCGGTACGCGGGCCTCTCACTGTTGTGGCCCCTCCCGTTGTGGAGCACAGGCTGCGGACGCGCAGGCTCAGCGGCCACGGCTCACAGGCCCAGCCGCTCCGCAGCATGTGGGATCTTCCCGGACCGGGGCACGAACCCGTGTCCCCTGCATCAGCAGGCGGACTCTCAACCACTGCGCCACCAGGGAAGCCCTCAAGATCTAATCTTTACCTTTTGTGTTTATTAGTTTGAATATGATATGTCTAGGCATAGTTTTCTCTGAGTGGATCCTTTTGGAGTCTGCTAAGCTTCTTGAATCTGTAAATTTATCTCTATTACCAAATTTGGGAAGTTTTTGGTCACTATTTCTTCAAACATTTTTTTCCTGCCTAATTTCTTTCTCTTCTCCTTCTGAAGTTCTAATGAATGACATATATGTTAGACCTTTTGATAGGTATTTTCTCACAGGTTCCTGAGACTGTTCACTTTCTTCAATCTTTTTTCATTCTATTTTTCAGATTGAGTAATTTCTATTGATCCTTCCTCAAGTTCTTTGACTACTTTGTCACTTCCTTTCTGCTATTAATTTTAAAATTTCAGATAATGTATTTTTTAGTTCTAAGATATCCACTTAGTTCTTTTTTAGAAATTCTATTTCTCTACTAAGAATTCCTGTTCCTTCGTTCATTCCAAGTATGTATAAATTTCCAGCATCTGGGCCACCTCTGGATTGCCTTTACCTTTTGACTGCCTTTTCCCTTGAGAATGAATCACACATTCCTGGATCTTTTTATGTCCAGGAATTTTGAATTGTATCTCGGATATTGTAAACGTTGTATTGTATAGTCTCTGGGTCTTGTTATAATCTTCAGGAGAATGTTGAAATTTTTATTTTAGTAAGCAGTCACCCAAGTTTTGTTTACACTGTAAATTCTGCCTTACCTTCTGTGAGAGGTGGTTTAAATCTCAGTTCTCCAAGTCTTTGTCATCCTAGTTTGCATCTGTCCTGCACTTGTGTAGTTCAGGGCTTAGTTGGAGGCTTGTACAAGTGATTAAAATCTCATTCACTTCTCTAAATTGAATTTAGACTATTGCTATGCTGTTGGGAGCTATCCCATGCATGCATACCTCAGGAACTGGACGGAGACTTCTGTGGGTTTATACATAGAATTATAGGGTCCCCTTTTTCTGGTTTCTCTGACTATAAATATGGGGTTCCTTTCAGACTTTTAGCTTCTTGCACTTCTTTACGACTCTGAGACTAGGGCTTGCCCTTTGGGCAAAGTCATAGAAGTGAAAAACAAACAAAATTGGAAACCTACCCCCTTGTGAAGGGATACATCTCCAAGTTTTGACTCTTTTCCTTAATCCTCAGTTGTTTTTCTATTTTATTCTAAAGGGTTTTGTTTTGTTTTGTTTGTTCATTTATTTTGGTGATAGGTAGACATGGGTTATAGTGGGTTTACATTGCCCTGGCCCATCAGAAGTATCTTTTAACATATGTATCGACAAAGAGGTCAAAGACTAAGATGAAGCCCTTGCTTCATCTTCTGTGTAAGTAGCTTGAGCTATGACTAGTTCCCAAGTTCTAATCATCTGATATTTGAACAAGAATTGGGATTTTGAGGAAGTAAGACGTTGAGACTCTATAATGCTGAGACTCTGTAATGCTCAATTATTAACTTGTAGGTATCAGGATCTCCCCTGTCAGATGACTCAGAGGCCGATTTGCCTCGAGTGGAACACCAGCACTGACTGTCATTTTGGTTCTGAGCTGGGTAAGTCTGATTTCTCACCCTTGAAGCTGTGTAACCTTTCATGGGAACTATTCTGTAGCTTTGCTGAAGCAACACATTCTACAGCTGAAACATTCTCCAATGATTGACTCTATGAGAACTCTTGATAGACCAAGAGTTGTACTACTTAACAAAACAGGAGTAGCTTTTGTCTCTGTGATGAAATCCCTTTTCATAGCGCTTGCATCTCTTGCTTTTAAACTAATCTCCTGTATTTTATTGGATACAGTAATGTGAACTTAGGGTGACAAGTGCTCCAGAAGGATAAATACTTATCTCCCGTATCAGTCATTTGCCCTTTGGGTTTATAAAGCAAGAAAGAGTAAATGATTGCTTGGTAATCTTTTTCCTAATAAAGAGGGATCATACCAAGTGATTGCCTTCCTTTTAAATATAACTTTTTAGTACTGAAAAACCAAAACCAAAAAAAAGAGAGAAAAAAATCAGACCTTTTTGGGTGATAATTTGCTATGTGAGTTCACACAAGTCATTCAAAAATAAAATCCTGCATTCTTATAACTGTGTTGTTGGAGTTAACCTGTTAACCTCCACAAAGCATTTTGAATGTCTGTGACATCAAATGTGAATTTACTGTGACGTGCACAAATCTTAAGTTTTAATTTCTCATTTTTACAGGTCCCTTCCAAGGGCCTAGTAGAAGTCATTGCAATGCATTTGCTATACATACTGCATAAACTGCAAGCTCTATAAAACTTGTATCTGTTTTGTCAAAATTAGTCATTATTTACACAAAAGGAGATGTTGTGCTACACATGGTAGTTTTGGTGGATAATTATCCTGAAGACTGTCTTTAAAATCTTGTTTTTTATACATATGATCTAAGGTTTTCTTAGACCATGTAATACCTACCAATACTGTCAATATATACAATATGAGAAAGCAAGTGAGGTAGAAATCAATTTCTAGGAAGAATATATGTAAACTATTTGGTGGCATATGTCCCCCTTTGCTTTTAGATGCTGCCCCAGCACTTGAGATGACATCCTTGTGCAACAAAAGTGCTGATATCCTAGAACTAGAGATTCGTGGTTTTGAGCGTTGACTTCTGAACTGACTACATTTTCTGAGAAGGACCTTGCAGCAGAAGAAAAGACAAAGACATCCATGTGTTTCAAAGGAAAATTGAACAATTGTCCCTTCCCAACTGTTATCCCATCACTTTTCAAGTCCACTGATGCTATTTCAAGATGTATCCAATGAAAGAATAGTGATAAGGTTCTTGTTACATGAATGTGTATTTAATATTAGTAGATCGTGTATTTAAAGTGAGTAAAAAAAAAAAGGGAGAAAGAGAGAAGCATTTAAAAGGTCATGTTATTTATGCATTGAATCTTGTGTGTTATTTGTATAAATGTGTACATTTATTTGGGAGTGGGTTTGGTGGTGGTAGGTGATAAAAACTAGGATCAGTTGAAGAAAATGAAAAAAAACCTGGGATCAGTAGGAGAAAATGTTTCCTTTACCCTAACTTAACTATAAAACACATTTAAAAATCTTGCTTATTTCTAGGCTTTAAGGAGAAGTGTAACTGCTCTCTGTGGATAGATGTACATCTTTGGTTTCTGTGATTATTGTTGATGTTGTGCGCAAAGAAGCCTTTTATTTCTAATGACCTAGTATGACTCTGGCATTGGATAGTCCTCTGTTTTATAAGATTCTGGTGCTAATGTTCTTGTGTGTAGGAATGTGATTGGAACAAGAGTGGTGAAGGAGAATTTTGTACGTTTACCTTGGAGCTGCGTACTGTGCTTCTCATTAAAAAAAAGAGGTAGACATACAAAATTTGGGGATGGAAGCTGGGTTACCAATTGACTAGGGCTGATTACTCTTTTCTGGGCCAGTTGCTATGGAACTCCCCAGCTGGAGAAGTTTTGGGGAGGGAATATCCACTGTTAGGACTTCACTCTTGTCCCACTGATAGTTTGAAGGTGATATCAGAAAGAACCTAGAGACGTTTCTGTCTCCTTGGGTCCTCCAAGGCCTCCCCCAAAGCTTTTCACAAGGTGCAAAATCATTTACGTACAGCCCACGCATCTTTTCCAATATACTGGTTCACAACTTTTAGGTGGGAGACTGAAACCAGTTGGACTGCAGGTTTTGGTTTCTGGGTTGTAAGTTGTGCTCTGAGTTCATTATCTTAGAGGATGGCTGTTAAGGGGGCCAGAACTTGTGTGGACTTTTTTTTTGCCTTAACCAATGAGCAATACGTTGTTTTTTTCGAAAAGGCACTGGCTAGAACTTAGCCCAAACATTTAACTAGCACTCTTCTCTATTACTCTAAAGAGCTTAATATTGAAATTCTGACCTTAGACACTTGGGCTTTCAAAAGAGTAGGACATTCCAGAGGCAAAATGAGGGGCTCCAATGTAGAGTCTATAGGTGGTTCAACTGAAATTTGGTCTTGGTTTTGAAGCTCTATCTTTAAACTCTGACCAGGTGTTTGACTAGATTGGTGTGGCTAACATGCTGAACAAAATTAGTGTATAAGTATTTGTAGGCTTCACGTTAAAATATTATTATTTTATTTTTACTCTGAAAAATATTGTCAAGAGACTCTAGCATGGAAAGCAGATAATACTTAAAAGCCAAGTGTTTCTCTAGCTTATTTCAATGTTATTTTTATTTAAAGATCAGTGTGAAAATATCACCCCAGTGTCTGAGGGTCCAAGATCAATTACCTTCTCATTTGCTTTTGGTATTTTTTGTTTATTAAAACATTTTGTGAACTTTAGAATTAAAGAACTAAAAGTTATTCACTATAAGTCCAACTTGAGACTTGAGGATCGTATCTGGTTAGAACCGTGGCAGAACTTGAAAAAGAAGATCTTGCAAATTGGGGCCATTAGACACTGAACCAAAATAATCCCTTTTTTCAGTTTAAGATTACTTTGCTTTGTCTCACCTACAAAGATATGATTAAGCCACTTACTAATAGAAAATATGTGTATGTACTGGTGGAGGGAAGTGGGCTTGCTGTGTGTATGTATGTTTTAAAATTAATAAATATTATATCTTACTGAGCTCCATACATGGTTTTTACTTGAATTTATTTAAGAGACCATGAATAATGTATACAACACCGTACAGTTTTAACAAATAAGTTTGAAATAATCTGTTAATTCTCTTTTTGAAATTTTGTATATAGGGGTGGCAAGTTAATTTTCTTGTACAGCCAGTGATACAAGCAACCTGGTCCTAAAGTAGCATGTCTTGTAAAGATGACTTGGTAAAAGTTGTGACAGACTTACGCTTAGAACCTGGTTCTCCTGATTAAGAATCCTTGCTTGGTTAGAATAGCTGACTTCCTATAGAAATGGGGACACAGAAGATGTGTTTTCTTATGTGACTCTCTCATTATTGGTTCCTTTATTTTAGTTGTGCTACAATATAAGGCTGGATCTGTACTAAATTATGAGTCAGACTAGACGGAAAAATGTGCTTCACTTGTTTTCTAAATGCTCCTCTATGTAACCGAACCACTGGCAGGAATTAGAAACACCAGCATCACTGCTTGTAAGGTTTTAAGGCTAGTCCTAGAGAATTGGACTTAATGGATTTTTCTCTATTGTTTTGTGCTGTGTTTTAGAATTAGAAATGGGTCCTTAACACTCCTCTATGTGAATGAAAAATTATGTTCTCACATTGCTTTTTAAAGGGTCTTATTTTCTCTCTTTATAGCTTCAGTCATGAAGTAACTTGAAAATGTAATTACCATAAAGCTTATCTATTTCTTAACATGTCTTTCTGAGAAGTGCCTTCCCACAAATCACTCGTCATCACTTGTAAGTAACTTGTGATTTAGAGCTTTGTGTTTGTAGATGTTTGTGGATATCTGATATCGACTGTATTATATGCTGAGAAACAGAAAACAAAACAAAAACCCATCCACCAAATGTCATTTTCCTTTGCTTTCAGTGAAATTTTATTTCCCCCCATGGCGTAGCCTTATTTAATCCCTACTTGTTGTACTTTGGCAAGCCAGATCATCTCCTGTAGAAGTGAAGAAGGTTTTAGCAAAACTTTGAAAACTGTATTGTTGGTTAATGTGAATTAAATAAGAGTCGGGCTTCCCTGGTGGTGCAGTGGTTAGGAATCCGCCTGCCAATGCAGGGGACATGGGTTCGAGCCCTGGTCCGGGAAGATCCCACATGCCATGGAGCAACGAAGCCCGTGAGCCACAACTACTGAGCCTGCGTGCTGCAACTACTGAAGCCCACGCACCTAGAGCCCGTGCTCCGCAACAAGAGAAGCCACCGCACGCAATAAGAAGCCCGCGCACCGAAGAGTAGCCCCTGCTTGCTGCAACTGGAGAAAGCCCGTGCACAGCAACGAAGACCCAACACAGCCAAAGATAAATTTAAAAAAATTTAGAAAACAAAATTAAATCAAGAAAAAAAAAGAAAGAGTCAGGGAAATGAAACCAAAATATTTCAATTCAGCATGTCTTCCTGTCCCTACACTAGGGTAGGCTCTCTTATCAGTCAAGAGAACAGGTTTTTAATGTCAGTTTATCTCCATTTAGCTATCTCCATGCCTCTAGTTCTGGAAAGCGATCTCCATTAACATTGCCACTAGAATTTAAAACAATCCTTCCATCTCACAGCAATGTTCCCATTGGTTACTTCCCTCCTGAACCTGCGTTTAGTCTTCTTCCTTAGATCATCACTCCTTTTGCTTACATGTATACCTACCTGTCTGTCTCCTCCACTGTGTATTTTTTAAGTAGAAAAGCTGTTTATTAAATTGCTCCTAGACCCTCCAGAAGAGTCAGGGCCAGATTCCGAAGGCACACGGCACACTGCAAGTACAATACCCAGTGTCACCGCCCCCTCCAAAATTTCTGTGTCTCTGAAGATTGGGAACTACATCTTATTTGTCTATTTCTGTTCCACACCATCTAGCTCTGTGATTTCTACGTGACGATAATAATAGTAACCCTGTGAAGGTAGGAATGTTAGTCATGGTTTAGAGGCAAAGTGCAGTAAGTCCTCTACCTTCAATTTTTGAACTTTCAAAGATGTGAACGTGCATGTCCAATCGTGTAAGTTCATATGTCTGGCGTACACTGTCACGTGTGTGCATCCTCTACAAGTGGTTGTGCTTTTGTGTACTTTACTGTACAGTACTGTATAGAGTACAGTAGCACAGTATCTTTATTTCAAGCCCAGGATGCCTGGAAGCAAGCGTAAAAGCAGCAGTGATGTAGCTGGTACTACTGTACTTTTCAAGGTACTGTACTGTAAGATTAAAAATGTTTTCTTTATTTTTTGTGTCTGTTTTTTATGTATTATTTGTGTGAAAAATATTATAAACCTATTACAGTACGGTAGTATATAGCCGATTGTGTTAGCTGGGCACCTCGTTGGCTTTATGAACAAACAGGACTTAAGGAACGCACTCTTGGAACGGAACTCATTCGTATGTAGGGGACTTACTGCATAGGCTTTGAAAGTTAAGAAGGTTACTCAGTGTCACTCAATAAATGATAGAGCCATGGGTGTTTGTTGAAATAGATATATGGTCATGATTACTTAGATCTGGAATCAATTAAAAATTTTTTTTGTTTAGATAATAAAAACTTTGGGAGCTTAGTCTCCTGGAGCTACACGCATCCTCATCCACTTACAGGGGAGGAAGCATGTTTCTCCAGCCATAAACAAAACTTCACTTTACTCTTATTAAGCCAAATTTCGATACTGCTCACCTTGAATCAAGCATTGTAGCCAGGGGAATGGTGTGCACTGATTGCCTTGGGGCTCTGTTAAATTCCTTTGCCTGAATTAGTAACAAGAGCAAAAGGAAACAGGATTATACTGATTGGGTTAGGCTAATGACAGCCTACCCATGGAACCACCAGGCTTCCGCTTAGCTGGGGAGGCATACAGGACATGGATGCTGGAGAAAACAGTCACAGTGCTCACCAGATAAGGATGTTTTGAAGCTGCAAATGTATGCTTTCTTTTAGATTTTCACCCATTCTGCCAAATTGTCCTCCAAAAATGCCGTACCAATTTCCATTCTCACCAAGTGTCTGGGAAAGTACCTCCCTACGCCTGGACTATGGTAGATAATACTACTAATAATTTCCATGTGGACCAATCTGCTGAGTGAAGATTGTCTTGCTTTAGTTTACATTTTCTTGATTACTACTGAGGTTACACATGTTTTCATATATTTTTTCTTTTTAGATATTTATTGGTCACTTGGGTTCCTTCTTTGAAGAAAGGATACTAAAGGTCTTAAAAACTAAGGCAGATTTTAGCTTGAGTGTTGGAGATTTCCCTTTGTAGATGTGTTTCATACCTCCTGAAAACAAAGGTAAACACCAGATTCAGATAATATAACTTGGCTCGAGGTATATCGTAGATCAAAAATTATTTTAAACGGGGAAATGCAGCCCAGCCAGAAGAATGTATTTTAAATTATACTTGTTCCTAAGTAAGGTGTTCAGACCCTCTTTCTGCTGAGTCTTGGGAGGAAATAAGTTAATGCGAGAGAAGCACTTTTTCCCTTCTAGGGCAGAGGAATGAAGACGTCAGCTCTGTTCGGATGAACAGGAATTATTTAAGGAGGGTTGTGAAAGGTCTGAGCTCGAGGGTTGCTGCAGCTGGCCTTACATCCATTTCACTACGACGACACCTTACTCCTTTGGCTCCGCCCAGGGCTGTCAAGCGTGATCCAAGAGGGGGCAGTAGAGCCCCATTCACTGTAAGCGATTTCCTTCCCAAGGAGAGAAGCGCTAAAACCTGCGATAAATTTCACCTGAGGGGTATTATCTGCTCTTTTGTCCATGCAATAAAAGCCGTCTTCTTTCCCCGTTTTTAAGGGCCCAGTGTTAAGGATTGCGTAATCTATTTGAACCGCAGGGGTGGCAAGGAAGAACTGTAATAGACGGGCCATCAGAGGGTGCCGGCCGTGGAGTGGCGCGCCCTGGTGGACATTGATAGTTAAACTCTCCGTTAGTCCGGTCTTAAAGGTTTAGGAAGCATAGTGGGAGCAGATGAGACCCAACGCACGTGGCCTTTGTCTCTCTGATTGGATCAGGGCGCCCTCGCTGTCAGCAGGTGGCTGGTGACTCAGAGGTCAGCAAGGCAGAAGCAGTGGCTGGAGGAGAGCTAGGCTGGTGGGAGCGTGGGGGCAATGAGCAGGACGCGGGCCTCTCACCGCTGTGGCCTCTCCCGTCCGGACGCGCAGGCTCAGCGGCCGTGGCTCACGGGCCCCGCCGCTCCGCGCCATGTGGGACCTTCCCGGACCGGGGCACGAACCCGCGTGCCCTGCATCGGCAGGCGGACGCTCAACCACTGCGCCACCAGGGAAACCCCTCAGTTTTTTATAATTTCTTTTAAAGTTCACTTTGTAAATGCGCCTTGCTTTGTAAGTTTTCCAGTGAGTATAAAAGGGGTCATTAATGTCTCCATTTGGTTTATAACCATCTCAATTTATTTAAATGCTCTTAACTGTAATTTAGAAGATGGAGCTGATTCTTCTGGTATTGCAGTATGATAGGTATTATTGGAACAACCTATTTTAGAACTTTTCTTGTGTAAGTATCCTGTGATCATAAAAACTAAGAGGTAAGAATAATGTAGTTATTGCTTCTGTTTTGCAAACATGAATAACCTATAAACCAATATGTTCACTGCTGATAAGGGGAACAATTTCTAGTCGGTGGAGTTTAAGATGCTTAATTTTCCAGTCCAATAGTTTTAGTTTAGTCACTGAAAACAGAAATCTTTTTCTAGTCTTTCCTGAGGCCTTGGCTTCTTTTACTTCAGCACGTCTGGGGCTTCTCTCTTTTCTCTGCTTTCCTCAGAGGAGCTTCCTCTCCAGAGTCTTCTTCTGGGGAAATAATAATAAGGAGGAAGGCGACTGTGCGGCCGAAAAAATGGATGGAACTGAAAATGGTGGTAGCACATCAGAGGGAGGAAAGGTCTGTATGGGAACCTAATGTGGACTCTGGGCCTTTGTGGTGGGAAAAAATGGAAGGGACACCTGGGTGTCCTGGTGATGGGCTGGATCCTCGTCCCTGGGTTCCTTGTGGTGGGAGGAGGGGTAAGTGTAAAGATCTGGCAGTCTGTAGGCTCTGCATTATTTTGTGAGTCTCCAGGAGGGGTGAATACCTCTTCCTGTCCTGTGGGGAGAAAAGCGCAAGTCAGGAAACAGGCCTGATGACAGGAGCAGAGGGGAGAGTCTTCAGGTGGAGGCAGGGGAGAAAGAGGGGAAGAGAGAATTCTAGAGTCTCAAAGCATGTTTGAGAGAACTGCCCAGGCCAGTGAAATGAGACACGGACACTCCTTATGACCCAGAAATTCCACTCGGAATTTACCCAAGAGAAATGAGTGCTTATATCTACAAAAGACTAGTTCAAGAACGTTCACAACAGTCTTATTCACATTAACCCAAACCTGCAAACAATGCCAGAGTCCATCAATAGGAGAATGGATAAACAAACTGTGTATTCATACAATGAAAGGAAGAATTACTGATACAACAACATGGATGTATCCTATGATGTTATGTTGAGCAAAGAAGTTAGACACAAAAGAGTACATACTGTAAGATTCCATTTTTATGAAGTTCAAGAACAAGCAAAACTAATCTATGGTAAAAAAAAAAAAGTCAAAAATAGTTAGCTTAGGGTTAGTGTAGGTGTTATTTAGTGGAAAAAGTAACCAGTGAATTCTTTAGATCTCGATCTGGGTGGCTGTTACATGAATATGGAGATAGATATACACACACACACATTTATATTTACACATACATACATATATACACAAAAATACAAATGTACACACATATCTAAAATGTGATCAATATATACCCTTAAGATTTGTGCATTTGATTGTGCATAAATTATAAATAAAGAAAGAAAATTTGATGGAAAAAAAGTTATGTAAAGAAAAGGCCTGCTTCACTTCCCCAGCAGTGAAATCATTCCCTGGAGAGGAAGGGAGGGAATATCTACTTGCTCCAGGGGAATGAGCACTGAGGACCAGGATGACATTAATTTCTGAGAAGAAATTTGGATCAACCTCCAGTGTCAAGGTCTTCCCTCTAGCTGTATCATACAATCAAACTGGCTGCGAAAAAGCAAGCTTTCCTTTAGGAAATTATTTCTTCACTCCCTTAGAGACTTACCAAAACAGGCCTGGAAAGGGTTGCTGAGTGTGAATGATGGAAAAATGAGTTCCTCACAGTAAGTTGAGAGCTAGATTCCCCTCACCTTTAAAACAGCTGAATTCAGGTTTCTTGGTTGTACTGGGTATGCTTATTCATAGCCCCTTCTAGAGATTCTGTTTCACCCATAATACCTGGAAAGGTCAGTACTACACTCCTTTGTCTATGGCTGATTGGACTGTTGTTAGACACTCAACTCATTCATTGGCTGGCCAGTGACCAATCAGATTCTCACTCAAGAATTTCAACAGAGACACAGCCAGTGGAAGATGTTACTGGAAGTGGTAGGGCGGGGGCTGGAGTGTCAGGTATTGGCCAGTTGAATGTTGAATAAACAGAGAAACCAATATTTCCATAGCTGTAAAATGGGGAAAGCCTCTCAAAGAGAAAAAGAGACAAGTGCCTATGTGGTTACAGAGTGATGATGACAGTAACCTTGACTCTTGACTTTCTAAGGGCTGGTCTTTTTGAGGGCTGGCTGTACTTAAGGGCCTTGGGAATATCTTTATAATAATCACCCCACCTCCAGCTCTATTCTTTTTTTTTATGCCACCTTGAATGGGTGTCTGTTTCTTGAATTAAATACTCACCCTTTCTCCCATACCCACCCAGGCTACTGAGTATTAAAATCTTATGGCTGAAACTAGATTAAGACATTTCAAACTACAGAAGATGATTAAATCGCATATTTCTCATTCTTTTCTCTACACAATCAGATCAATTCTGAACCTTTGTAACATGAAAACTTTCTGCTGAGAATCCAGTCACTAGGGGAGAAACTAGCCTTATTCTTAAACTAAAAAAAAAATGTATACATTATTAGCTGCGTTGGGTCTTCGTTGCTATGCACGGGCTTTCTCTAGTTGCGGCGAGCAGGGGCTACTCTTCGTTGTGGTGCGTGGGTTTCTCATCGCGGTGGCTTCTTTTGTTGCAGAGCATGGGCTCCAGGCATGCGGGCTTCAGTAGTCGTGGCTCGCGGGCTCTGGAGCGCAGGCTCAGTAGTTGTGGCGCACAGGCTTAGTTGCTCTGCAGAATGTGGGATCTTCCCGGACCAGGGCTCGAACCCATGTCCCCTGCATTGGCAGGCGGATTCTTAACCATTGTGCCACCAGGGAAGTCTGAAGCTAGCCTTATTCTTAAGCTCCATCTTGACATTTTGCTATCAGATCAGGCTTAGCTAGGTCTTGGGCTCTGCCACTCAATAAGCTGGACTCCAGTTTTTAAAAACACCCACCCCTTGTGCTTTTTCTACTTCTTAAAACTGAGGCTATTCTCCACATCCTCCTGACAATGGTGATCTAGGCATCTGCAACCAGCTTTTTAAAAGCCCAGGGCCATGGATGATTTGTTTAAAGTAGTTTTTGTGGAATGGAGGAAACCGAGCCAGATACCAGTGGCTGAAATAGGTGGGACAAAATAGACTCAGAAGTGTGTAGAGTTCTCTTTGAAGTGAGAGAAGTAGAACCAAAGAAGTTTATGGCAGATCATGTCTCATTTCCTCGGGGAGGCCTTCCCTCCCTTGAGGCTGGCTTAAGGCCCCTGGCAATATGCTTCCCCAGCACCCTGTGAGTCCACTTTCATCATGTTCATCAGTCATGTGACTACTGTTCAGCGGTTGTATTCCTCCTGCACTAAAGTATCTGTCTGATCATTCTGTACACCTGGTCTCACCGCTAGCCCAGTGCCTACAGCGGACTTGAACAGACTGAGAGAAATCTCAGTTTCCATAATCTCAAAAGTTACCACATTCCTACCTCTCAGGGATAATGTGATAATTAATAAGCAAATATTTCTCATTCTGTAACATACTGACATGACACCAAAGATACTGAATATCAAACACAAAGAGCTCTTTTGCAACCATAATTAGACCAAAGTAGGTCAAATATTTAAGTGCAGATTGGAAACATTTTGAGAGGCAGAACGGCATAGGATCCCTGAGCTCTGCCGTTTAATAATTGTGTGACCATTGACAGCTTCCTTAACTTCTCCCAGTCTTCTTTTCCTTATTTGTAAAATGGAGAAAATAATACTACCTATCTCACTGGCTTGTTGTAGTGTCTAAAATAAGATATGTAAAGTGCTGAGAACATGCCTGACATATGCATTTGGTAGGTCTTAGCTGTTGTTATTGGGCCTCCATCAAGACAAGGCCTGTTGACTCTGTTGGTCATTGCTATGTCCCTAGTACCCAGAACAGTCCCTGGCTTGGCCTCATGCCCAGTACATAGCTGATTAATTGAATGAGGCAGATGTTGAGTGTAGATGCTGAGTTCCTCTCTGCAGATTTTTGTGAAGCTCAGTATTTCATTCCAGTCCCAGAAAAAAAATTTTTTTGGCCTCACTGCCTGGCACGCAGCATCTTAGTTCCTCCACCAGGGGTTGAACCTGTGCCCCCTGAAGTGGGAGTGCAAAGTCTTACCCACTGGACCGCTAGGGAAGTCCCTCCAGTCTCAGGAAAATTGCAGTAATAACTTACATTCAAAATTAGAGGATAGGGCTTACCTGGTGGCGCGGTGGTTAAGAATCCACCTGCCAATGCAGGGGACACGGGTTCCAGCCCTGGTCCGGGAAGATCCCACATGCCGCGGAGCAACTAAGGCCGTGTGCCACAACTCCTGAGCCTGTGCTCTAGAGCCCACAAGCCACAATTACTGAAGCCCGTGCACCTAGAGCCTGTGCTCCACAACAAGAGAAGCCACTGCAAAGAGAAGCCTGCGCACCGCAACGAAGAGTAGCCCCCGCTTGCTGCAACTAGAGAAAGCCCTCACTCAGCAACGAAGACCCAACGCAGCCAAAAATAAAATAAAATAAATTAAAAAAAATTAAAGGATAATAAAATAATCAAGACCCAAAATATTGCTTGGAGTTTGGACATCAATTTTAAGTGGGTTTTCTATAGTCTAGACATGAAATTCATTGTATCCTAACAACTAGTACTTTAAAAAAAAAAAAAAAGAAAGGGGGAGATGACCTTTTTTAAAAAAATATAATTATCTGCAGTCTGTGGTTATTTGGGCAGACAATAGCTGGTTTGTAGTGAACTACCCTGATTTCTAAGAGAAGTAAGTTTTATACTTGATGTATAAGTGTGCAGTTCTTCTTTTACACTTGGAGTATCACAAAAATTCTCAGGTGCCTTTAGAATCGAACCAAAAAGAAATATAAGTCCTGTGATTAATTTGCTCATAGTAACTGCAACTTAATTCATTTTGTAGACTCACAGAATAACTGGCTATTTTAGCCAAATCTCTAATTTTACAGGTAAAGACATTGGAGCCCAGTCCATACAAGTTCACACGGGCCTCTTTGAATCCTATGCTATAAGTCTAGTAGTTTCAACAGTGTGCTTTGTTACGTGCTGTGACAAATGCAGAGATGATAAAGACACGGGGCCTGCCCTCGAGAGGTGGGGAGACGCTACAAATACATGGATCTATAATGCAGAGCAGAATGCAGTATGGACCATGGCTGATACACAAATTGCTCTAAGAATTCAAAGATGTCAGAGAGAGGGAGATTGCAATTTTAAAGCTATGTGTCTTAAGAAAGCCTTATGTGAAGGTAATACTACAGTGACATTAAACGTCACCATGTGAAGCAGAATTGCAGTAAACAGAGGTGAAATCAGGAGCGGGGGCAACCATAGCTCCTGCAGTGGAGGAGAGAGAGAACAGAGTGGGTTTGGAGACCTACACATGACCCCATCTGGCAGAGCCAGGGCATGTGTAAGTGGGTGATGGCCTGGAGCCAGGGCTGCCTGGAGAGAGTGAAGCTGCATTTGAAGGTCTTTGAGGCTAGTCTGAGGGATAGTGGGGAAGAGTGAGCCTAAATCAGAAATCACATTTTAATGGTGTTTTTTAAAAAAATGTGAATAAACCTCTAATCTCATTATAACTTATTTAGCTACGTATTTACAAGGTTTCCTGAAGAGTGGTTGACTTTCTGGAAAGGTGTCCAGTGTCAGGTTTTGTTTTATGGTGCCACTTTCAGATGTCACTTTTAGCGGGTGACGTTTGCAGGTCTTGTCTTGGGAATCGGGCAGGTGTTCTTTGTAATCTGTCTCCTTGCCCTCTGATCGTCTGAGTTCATGCAGAGATTGGACAAGGTGAATTCTGGTGGCCTCACCACCACCTCTGATGTCCCTGCCCCTTTCTGTTCTGTTGTGAGCTTTGGTGAATGGGCGCAGGGAACTTGCTAGGGGATGACTAGGGTCTGACTGAGCCCCTGCAAAGCCCCAGGCCACGTGAAAGTGGTGGAGGACTCAGTTTGACTCCTGAGGTTCTCCCCCTTTGCTTTCCTGTCCCCAGGGTTTGCAAACCAATGCTCTGGCTCAGGCCATCTGGAAATTTTGTAGTGGGGGGAAAGGAAAGAGAAAGGAGTAGGGGAGACATTGAATCTAATAGAATCTTAAAGAAAGAAGTCTAGGCTAACCTCCGCAACACCAAGACACAACTGACTAGATGTGATTAACTAAAGCAGTTGATAAACAGAGACTGAACACCCACCATGGGCAAAATACCGTGCTGTTGGGCATATAAAGAGGTAGACATTGCTGTAATTCAGAGTGGAAATTGTTCGCTCTATATCAATAATAACTAGTATTCATATAGTGCTTGAAGGATGAAGAGCTTTTCTTGCATCATAGCTCATTTGGTCCTCACGACCCCCATAATAATGGACATCATTAATGCTGTCACTTCACGCTTGAGGAAATGGATATCAGAACAGTTAAGTGTGTCTAAAGTCACATAGCTAGGACTGAGACTAGGACCTTCTGATGATAAAATTCAGCCTCTTTCTCTTTAACCACACAGGCTAATGAAAGCTGACGTAAATATTTCCAGTTCATGATATGCATAATCATGGAGCCAAATTTTGTCTTTTCACACAACTTATTAATTACTGGACCCACAGTAGAATAAAAACAAAACCCTTACCTTCTGCCACAGTTACCACCACCCAGCAGACCAGTAGCCAGTAGGAGAAGCAGAGTCTGTGAGCCATGGCTTCTACCCCAAGCAGTCACTGCCTTGAACCCAACGTGTCTTAAAAGGGGTTGGTGAGTCACCCGCAACCTGATTCAGGGAGTTTTCATTTGCATAGTGGACCACAGGGATTAGGGCTTGCGGTGTGAGGGTAAGAAATCAGCAAGGAAATACCAGACAGTATTTGTCAACCAGAGCTTCTTGTAATGACAGCCAAACATCATTCACCTGTCCTTGGTTGGAGTTGGACTGTGGACAACCACGCCCTCACTATCCTTTTAATTCCTTCAAATCTTTCCCTCTTAGTGCCTTCTCATTACTTGTGTATATAGGTCTCCCTCAGCAAGAGAAAGAATCTGTCCAGGAGATGTTCAGCACGGCTTCCCTCTGTGTAGCTTACTTACTTAACAAAACCAAACAGGACAGGGAGGACATTATCTAAAGGCTTTGTGACCCCAGCAGTTTGAAGAGGCTGTTCACAGATCTCGGATCAGGGATTACGACTCCTCTGCTTTTGTCAAGGAGCCAAGAGCAGCAGAGTCAGAAAACTGTCTTCTCTAGTAGCCATCATGGTCACTGTCTAAACAAACATGAAAATTTTGGGAGATTAACTTAGTGATTTGCCCTTCCAAGGCCCCCTCTGATTCATCAAACTGCCTGTAAGATGCCTGGTTTGTTTCCTGTCAGCTGCTGGAGGAATGGGAGTGGGCGGTCACAAGTGCTTAAAACGACGGACCTTGGAGTTAGAGATGATCATACTAAGTGAAGTAGGTCAGAAAGAGAAAGACACGGGCTTCCCTGGTGGCGCAGTGGTTGAGAGTCCGCCTGCCGATGCAGGGGACACGGGTTCGTGCCCCGGTCCGGGAAGATCCCACATGCCGCGGAGCGGCTGGGCCCGTGAGCCATGGCCGCTGAGCCTGCGCCTCCGGAGCCTGTGCTCCGCAACGGGAGAGGCCACAACAGTGAGAGGCCCACGTACTGCAAAAAACAAACACCATATGACATCATTTATATGTGGAATCTAAAATACGACACAACTGAACTTATCTATGAAACAGAAACAGACTCACAGACACAGAGAACAGACTTGTGACTTCCAGAGGGGAGGGGGATTGGGGGAGGGATGAATTGGGAGTTTGAGATTAGCAGATGCAAACATATATAGAATGGATAAACAACAAAGTCCTATTGTATAGCACAGGGAACTATATTCAGTATCCTGTAATAAACCATAATGGAAAAGAATATGAAAAAGAATATATAGGTACATATGCATAACGGAATCACTTTGCTGTATACCAGAAACTAACACAACATTGTAAATCACCTATATTTCAATTTTTAAAAATGTATGGTCTGGCAAAAGGGTACCTTCTCCCCAGTGTATCTCCCACTAGGATCTACTTAGGGAGAGAGAGATAAACAAAGAGCAATATAACGCAGCATATAAATGTTGTTATAGAGGGTACAGGCAGAGGGCAGCAGCTCAGAGAAAGAAGCAATCAGCTCCATTTAGGGGAGTCACATTTGACAAGTGCCATTTGAGCTGGGTATTAAAGGCTAGGGAAGACCTTGTTAGACAGTTGAGGGACAAGAAGATGAGCATGAATCTAGATAAGAAGACAGGAAGAGGCTGACATGATGGGAAAAGGAGTGAGCAGTACAGGATGAAGGTGCCTGCAGCAAAGAGATGGAAGTGGAACAGGAGAGATCGGCTTTTATTCTCCATGCTAAGAAGGTTGGACTTTTTCTCGTAAGTGATGTGCAGCCAGTGAATGATTTTAAGTTGGAAGCTGATATGATTACATTAGTGAAAAAATATATAAATAAATAAAGAAAATAAAACAACTCTCAGGCTGCAGGATGGATGGAGGATAGACTGTAGTGGGGAGAAGTTCACATACATTTATGAAATGTAATAGCTGGGGAAGAGATAAATTAGGAGTTTGGGATTAATAGATACACACTACTATATAAAAAATAGATAAATAACAAGGACCTACTGTATAGCACAAGGAGGATATCCTCAAGGAGGATACAGGCCACCAGAATGGCAGCAGTTGAGGTTAGAGATGAGGAGAGCCTGAACCAAGGCAGATTAAGCAGAGACAGAGAGTATATCTGAGGACTATTTAGGACGTGAGCGGACCAACTGACCATGTGAGGAAAGAGAAGTGACGGACAGCTCAGGTGGCTGGATAGAGATGGCGTTACCTGAGATGGGGCAGAGGAGGGGAGGGAGGAATATACCGAATGAAGTTCGTGTCACTGTTTTTGACGTGCCTCTGAGATATCCAGGTGGGGACGCCTTAGTAATGTGTTTTAAATATGCTTCTGGAATTTAGGGGAGCAGTCAGGGTTAGATTTATAGATTTGGGAAAGGGTGAGATTATCTAGGCAGAGAATTGGGAGAGTGAGAGTAGAAAAGGGCCACGGACATTTAAGAGGCAAACAGAGAGAGAGAGAGACAGAGAGAGAGACAGACAGAGAGAGAGAGAGAGAGAGAGAGAGAGAGAGAGAGAGAGAGGAAGCAACAGAAATGGTGGAAGAGGCAATAATCAGAGAGGCAGGAGGAACAGCAGGAGAAAATGGTGACTTGGATGCTAGGAACAGAGAGAGTTTTAATAAGCGAGAGGGATCTACAGTAACAAATGCCAAAGCCAGGATCCTTAGTCAGCCTCTGAGTGGCAGGGAGTAGAGGTCAAAAGAGCAAAACATTCTTCTGATTTTGGCCCTGGAGATGCCTGGGCAAAAACAGATTATGCCCCAAGGTTGGGAGGAAGGGAAATATCCCATAATCAACTTGTGGTGATCCACATTCATGAAAGAACCTAGGTAATCTGAGATTGCTGGAAATTCACAAATTATTTCTGGCTATCTTTAGGCTTCGGAGACATACCTGCCACCACTTGTTATCTTGGAAGGTTTTGAAGAATTTCTAACTAGTCATTTATACTTTGTGTTAATTATTTTTACTTTTGCACACAGGTTTGATTATCACCAGACGCTCACTTTTCAGTAACAATCACTCCTGACTCAGGTGACCTCAGACATAGAGCTAAGAGATTCTAGGTCATTATAGATTATAAATGAAATTAAATGAACCATATTTTTGCTCACAGAGAACTATCAATCAGAAAAAAATCACAAAATAATAAACACCCAGCATTCAATTTCATCAACTTAACACTATTGTATCAGAGAGAGCTTCTCTGTGTAGTTTTAGATTTTGGCGCTCATGGTGAACTCTGCCGGGCTACCCTTTGGTATTAGCTGTTCCTGC